TCGTCTAACCACTACCCAACAGACCTTTCTGGTATGGTAGGACCTCGAGGGAACAAGCGTTCCACCAGCATAGCTCGTTGGGTCATTGTGATATGCAAGCCCGACCACCACGTCAAGGTAGCAGCTATCGGTCGGGACTCGAGAGGCTACACGTGACAGGCCTCAAGCAGATGTCTAATAAGCTCTGCGGTCACACAAATCTCTTTCAGGTACCTTAAGAAGAAATAACCTTCCACGGTGTGGGCAGCCGGGAAGTGTCAACCGCCCTCACAACTCTGTCAGCACCCAAGTTTCTTCTGACTGCTATCCTCCTCCTCCATCATTACCTTCTAATCTTCCTTCACGTCTCTTAATTAATGATGCTGCATCATCTTCAATTTCTCCTACCTCTGCAGCCTTCGACAACGATCTGAGTCCACAGAACAGCATCCCTGGTCTCCTTAAACCACGCTCCAAATTACATATTGGAGCCTTCAATGTCCGCACCCTCCGTCAAATTGGCCAACAGGCTTCGTTGGCAAAGACTCTAGCAACTCGAGGCATGGATGTGTGCTGTGTTTGTGAGACACGCATACAGGACCCAAGTGTGGTTATTCACCTGACCTCTCCTGACCAATCTGGTGAATCTGCAAAATTCACCCTTCGAGTTTCTGGAGATTCGATAGCTAGCTCTCGTGGTCTTGCAGGTGTAGGTATAGCATTAAGCACCAGGGCAGAAAACTCACTACTAGACTGGATCCCAGTTGATAGTCGCCTCTGCGCTATGAGGCTGAACGGCACAGTGAGAACTAAAAGGAATAGTGAGACTCGCCGTTGTCTCTTTGTAATCTCTGCTTACGCACCCACTGACTGTAGTTCGGATGAAGTGAAGGACGAGTTCTACCATAAACTGTCTAACCTCCTCTCGAAAGCCAAACGTTCGGACGTAGTGGTTGTTGCAGGTGACCTCAACGCACAGGTGGGTAGACTGAGTGAGGCAGAAAGGCACTTAGGTGGCACTTTCGGAATCCCAGCTGAACGTACAGATAACGGTGATCGCCTATTACAACTATGCTCAGATAACCGCCTATTTTTAGCCAGCACAAATTTCAGACATAAAGAAAGGCACTGTCTGACCTGGCGTCCACCGAGCTCGACTCAGCGATGGACACAGATAGACCACATTGCTATTAGTCATCGCTGGAGAGGATCGGTGGAAGACTGCCGCTCCTTCTGGAGTACGTGTTTGGACAGCGATCATGCGTTGGTCCGAGCACGTATATGCCTGCGTCTCAATGGACGTAGAAAAAATTTGGCAACAAAACCACTACGAGTTCTGCTGGACAACGAAAACACCAAAGCCGTGTTCAGTGAGAAGTTGGCTAGGCAGTTATCGGAACAAAAGACTGTCACTCATCCAGAAGAAGCTTGGTGCCATCTTCAGTCTACTGTAAAAGCAGCACTGGAGACTGTAGCCGACTCCAAGATAATGGCTAAAAAGAGCCAGTGGATATCAGCAGCTTCTTCCAAACTAATGGATGCACGTGAATGCATCCCTGCAGGCTCTGAGTACAATGAAGAGCGAGCGCAACTTAAAAATAAACTGACGAAAAGTCTGCGCAACGATCGTGAACAGTGGTGGGCAGCAAAGGCTAAAGAGATGGAAAAGGCAGCGGCGATCGGTAACAGTAGACAGTTATTTAGACTTATTAAGGAGACTGGGGGGAAATGGTCAACAACAGTTAGTGAGGTTATAGCGGAGAAGGACGGATCGGCGATTCACTCGCAGGGAAGGCGACTGGGACGATGGGCAGAACACTTTGAGGAACAGTTTAACTGGCCTCCAGCCACCATTGCGCTGCCCGCTATCCAGTCGGACCCTGAATGGGACATAGAGACAGGTCCCCCAACACTAGAAGAAGTCGAGAAAGCGGTAGGTAGCCTGAAACGGGGAAGGGCAGCAGGACCAGACGGACTACCTGCTGAGGTATACAAGAATGGTGGTAGAGTTCTCTTAGTCAGGCTAACGGAAGTGTTAACCAGTATATGGGAATCAAATACGATCCCCTCTGACTGGTCTAAGTCACTGATCATCCCAGTCTTCAAGAAAGGCGAGAAGTCCTCTTGTGATAACCACAGAGGAATCAGCCTGACGAACGTAGTGTCCAAGATCCTAGGTTCTATAATTCTTCGACGCCTGAGTGGAGCTAAGGAATAGCAAACCCGAGAAAACCAAGCAGGCTTTAGACCTGGCCGTGGATGTATCGACCAAATATTCACACTGCGCCAGGATCTGGAACATAGGCATGCTTACAGACGCCCTACAATAGCTGTATTTCTCGACCTGAAGGCGGCATTTGACTCCGTTGATCGAGAAGTCTTATGGCAATGTCTGTCACTGAAAGGCATGCCTAGTAAGTACATCACGTTATTGAAAGCTCTCTACTCGAACACTTGTGGGCATGTTAGAGCCTATGGTGAGTTGTCCAGGGAGCTATACTCATCAAGTGGTGTCCGTCAAGGATGCCCACTCTCCATTCTTATTCAATTTTATCATAGATATACTTATGGAGGTTTCCCTCTCGTCACCTGATTACACAGACGATGACTTAATCACAGGAGAATTTTCGTTAGACCTAGAATATGCAGATGACATAGTCCTGTTAGGTGAAGACGCTGACAAGATGCAGAGTCTTCTGAACACTTTGAGTGGGGATTTGAAAATGTTTGGAATGCGGTTTTCATCGCCCAAATGCAAATTTTTGCTCCAGGACTGGTCTTCAGCGGTACCGCGGTTAACAATAGAGAGTGAAGTGGTTGAGTGTGTCAACCACTTCACTTACCTGGGAAGTAGGATCAGCCCCGGTGGGTCAGTTGCCGATGAATTTTTTGCACGGATACAAAAGGCTCGATTGGCTTTTGCCAACTTACGCCACCATTGGCGCTGCCGTGATATCTGTTTGTCTATTAAGGGTGACGTGTACTGCACATCAGTCCGGTCTGTTCTACTGTATTGCTGTGAAACATGACCATTGAAAGTGGAAGATATAAAAAGGCTTCAGGTGTTTGACCACCGTTGCCTTCGTAATATAGGCCGTATTCCATGGTGTAATCATGTGAGTAATGTGGAAGTCAGGTATAGAGTTTTAGGGAGTAGAGATAAATCAGTTGACGAGGTTATGAACCTTGATCGACTGATATTGTTGGGACACGTGTTACTTATGCCTAGTCACCGATTGCCTCATCACACAACGTTGGCCGAAGTAGGCCTAGGCTGGAAAATGGCCTGAGGTGGTCAGACTAAAACATGGCACCAATGTATGAAATCTTGGACTGTTAGCTTGAGGTATGTGAGGCGATGCAGACTAGGTGGTTGTGGTCCGTGGTACAGGAGGAACAAGCGGTTGGAGACTCTAGGTGATATGGCTGAGAGCCGATGTCTGTGGCGCAGATGTTTACACACATTATCCTTATCTTAACATTATGCCCATTATCACCATTTTCTCATTCTTCCTTTCTCTCTTCTCGTACTTTATATTTCTTTTGACTGGATTTTCTTATCTTCATCTTGCACTTCACTGCCTTCCTACTTGGTTTGGTGATATGAGCTGTGGCAACTCGGACCGTTACGTAATGCTTAGTTTTATGAAGATATTGATGATGACGACTAGTGATTTCTAGCTCTATCAGACGTTATTATGAGACTAAGTGATGAGCATACCTTCCTTTGAATTTCTGTTATAGAGTAATAACTTACATTTAAGCGTAAGTCAATCAATCTGATGATTATGTAGTAGGTTATAGACCATACTTGTTGTTTGAGGGCTTATAGTACTACTGAGGTGTCCAGATAAAAGTATATGCATTGGGGTTCAAATCCGGTACCGAATGCTTAAGATTTGAATGCCTAAGGAATGAGCCACATATCCATCAACTGACCAATCTAAATCCAGTTGTAAGCTGTAGAGCTGTGACTCATTGTTGGTCACGCGTTAAAAGTTCTACTCGACTTACCACGATCTTGGCTGCCGGGTAGGATTATTAGGCATCATACAACAGGTATGGTTAACTGCCTAAAGTATAAGCATGCACTTTGTTGTTGCGTTCATTTCGTTTTTCGCAAGTTATTTTTAACTTCCGAATATCACCAACGTATTTTACATCACCTACAACTTATATATAAGTGCACATAAATGAACTGCTTACTTTATTAGTTTTTATTAACTTTCGAAAGAATTCCAGTCAATATGTGGACAAAAAGCTGCCATATTTGATCCCACTGAAAGCCTCAATTAACTCAGACTTGTCTCCTTGGTGGTGAACCAAATATATATCATATCTGAACAAACCTTGAACGATGTTTATCCTGATTGAATCAAGAACTTTTAAACGTGACGTAGAACACATTAACTTTTGATTTTATATGGTTAATATGATCTCTTCATAATATGTGTAGTGATAAGTTATGTTAATGTGTTCTAGGTCAAGTTTAAAGACTTTGGGTTCATTCAGGACAGACATCATCCACGGTTTGTTCAGACATAGTACATTTTCTTCACCACCAAGCAAACAAGCCTGGGTTTACTGAGGCTTTCAGTGGGTTCAAATATAATCGGTCGTGCACAGCTATAGTCAGTTGGTTTAGGGAGGTGGTTTTCAATCGGTGCGTCACGTGTTCGAGCCCCACCGCACCCACCGAGGTTTGGCCTGACGGGTGGTATCACTGGCCCTCACACGGTAGGTGTGGTTCGTTATACACGACTGGTAATTGCATTTTGGTTCAATTTGATGTGTGCAATTACGTAACGGTAGGTATTATGAACTAACCTTGTGATTCTATGTGAAAATTAAAAGTGGATAAGGACTCTTGAAATAGTTACAGTTTCAAGAGAGTTGAAATGCAGCATGCATATATATATATATATATATATATATATATATATATATATATATATATATATATATATATATATATATATATATACCTTGTCTAATCATTTTTTTAAACCAATTAAAATTAGGCATTCATTGAATCTATTGGTCATCAGCATTTTCCAAGTGATTACATCAAGAAACGACTAGAAAAAGCATTTATTCGTTTGGCAAGAGATGAAATGGGTGTCATAGCCATGCAAACAGCTTTCGATGGGTTGAAATATGAAAAGTTATCTTCTGTTAACCTAACGCAGAGTTTAGATAAAGTAAGTACTAAAACAGATATATCATTTTATTATTTTTAAAAATGTTGTGGTATTTTACTGGTTAGTGTTAAACTTTGGAGGGGAAATAACGTACACATCCATTTAGTGGTCAGTCGGCATCATAGATTGTACAAAGGCTAGTGAATAACTCCTGACTGCTGAAAAGGAGTTTGGACCTGTGACTAGCTAATCAAGCCATGAAAGATATACTGGCAAACGTTCTGGAGTAGACAACCAAACGTTTCTCAGCCGGAGTTCCGTGCTGGCGAATAAAATGAAGTTGTCAATTGTTAGACAATACTAGTTTTGTGCATTTTGAAGGTTTCAGCTGTACGGCCTAATCAATTTTTGACTAACTAGAACTTAGTCTCCAATATGTTCACATTTGCACAGTAGACGATAAGCTATATCCATTGTGTCAGGGATTATGGTGCTGTGTCACCACTTGGACCACAATGAGTGGAGCGAAGTTCAGTCCTGTAACCCACTAATTGAAAGTCGAGTACCTAGACCAATGATTCACTGGTACTTTACCTAGTATCATTAGCCCTTACATAATCAGCGTGGCTTATCACTGACTGCACGAAAAAGAATGTGGTCGCTGAGTGAATTTCAAGGTTTACACACTCGACTTCAGGTGGAGTGAATTTAGTTGTTTGCTGAATACTTTGATGAAAGGTCTCATTACATTCATAACTCATCATTCAGGCAAAGTCGGGCAAATTGCCTTTATTCTTGTGTCTGTGAAATGTTTTGTTTTATTATAGCTTTTGTGTGTATTGCCATTATAGGAGTTGTGAGTGATCTTATGTGTAAGAAAATCTTTGGATTGTTTCACAACACTTCAAAATCTGACAGTAGCTCAGCGTTTAAATTCACCGGATGTTATTCGATCGCATTCATAGATCATGTGGCGTTATATGTTTATCGATTGACTAATTCCTGATTATGTTCTAGACTGAACAACACTACTGGTTAGCAATCACTCGTAACATGTGGCCATTTCGTTTGTTTGGAATCGTTTGATATTTGGATCATTATGATCTGGTGGATGAAACTGTAGATCCGCTCATTTTGGTTAACAGTAGCGCACTTCATTCACTTATGACACTTTTATGTCAGCTTTCACTGTCTTTGATCTTGACTGTGGGATTTTAGGCGGAAATCGTGTTGACACTGCAGCTGAGAATTCATTTTATTCATTAGTGACTTGTTTTGACACAGATTTCCCAAAGTTTCATTAGGGCATGACCTGTGGGGTAAACCAAGTTGTGTACGAGGAAAAATACTCGTCGATGGCATTAGATGTTAGTCGCTCTATATTGCGAATTGATAAGATTAAGAGAATGTGAACCATTTGATACCGATCCACTGGCTGGATGGTAACTCACTCGTGATGAGACGTGATGGTTATGCGTTCGATTCCTTGCAGGGTCTTAGGGGCTAACTGCTGAGTGGGGGCCCAAGTTAGTACAAAACAGCTATCCAGTGGTCCTAAGTTCTCAATGCTTCTCCAACTGATATCAGTCCACGATGAATAAATGGCAAGCTAAAATCAATAAATAAATCCCCACAAACCTCCAAGTTGAATAATAAGAGTTAACCGGGAATCGACTCGGTGCAGTAATCCCATTGGTGGTTACTGAGGAATGAATGGTTTTGAAAGTATTCATCATGACTCATAATCAGCAGTGCGCACCCATGACCCCGCCAGGGATCGAACGTAGGACCCTCAGGTTCCGATGCCAGAATGTTACCATTGTGCCACTGGGTTGGAGTCCAATGGTCCATAATTCCTACTCCTATCAGTTCACAATTATAGCACGATCTCCATCCAATGCCAAGTTGAACAGTTACTAAGTTACGGCATTGGATGGAGGTCGCGCTCTATCGTGAACTGACAGAAGTAGGAAATACAGACCACCGTGTGGCAACCTAGTGGCTCAATGGTAACGTACTGAAAGTGGGGCCTGAAGGTCCTAGGTTCGATCCCTGTCGAGGTCATGAGTACGCACTACTGAGAAGTCCATCACTAGGACGATGCTCCCAGTTTTCCAGTGTTTCTCCAACTGATGTCAGTCTATGATGAATAACAAGCTGAACATCATCAGTTTTACCTAAACATTTGAGACCTAGCGAAGTTAAGAAATTATTTTTACTTTTCGTATTTGCTTCTCTGGTTAGTAATGATTTTTTAAAATTAAACAAATTAACCAAAGCAGTAAACAACTAATTTATGAAGCAAAGTACTGTGCACAGAATGATCGAATGATTATTTTTATATCGTTATGTGCTTGTTATCTTTCTTAGCCAGTGAAATTAAGACAATCTCTAACGGAATCAATGCATGATAAGAAGTAGACTATAGATGAATAACTTTGTTAGATAATATTGCATAACTGTTTCTTTCAATCATCTTAATATTGCCTTTTGATTTATAGTCTAGGTTGACAGTGTTGAAAGTTAGTGATTTGGACCTGAAAAAAGCGATGAGTTAACTGCTATTTTTTTTTCTGTATTGATCGTCTATCAGTTGAATTCAGCTTGTGGTTTCAGTCGTTCATAGATAAATAACAATATGAGATGCAGTAAAACTCCGGTTTATTTTAATTGGACCCTAAAGCAAAAGGTTGAAGCGACTAGTTATTGGACTGTTTTGTTTAGCCTCTGGTTTCTGTTTTATTTAAGGTTACTTGGGAGGTTACTGAAGGAGACATTGCATTAGTTCTGTGTGACCACAGAACCCACTAGATATGTACTTAAGAGTGGCTATACACAATCTTGTAGAGAAATTTTTTGGTTTTGAATGGATTTGTTTTACATTCGCACTGTAAAGTTCATACCGCCGACGCGAGAAAAACATAAAACAGAAGCACGTTTGTTATTTTTAGGGTCTGTCTTTTTTAACTTATCCTTTCGATAGTGGATGATGGCATCAACATGGAATGTTGCCTCTCTGCGTGAAACACATCAATGTTGTCTCACTCCGTTCAACCAGAAATGCGATTTCGCCGCTTGACCCCCCCGCCCCCACCATAGCGTATACTTTTTGCACCATGATGTTAACTGCTTTTTGTTTTATCACTATCCAACAGACCTTTTAATTAACAATCTTTCCAGCTGACATAATTATTCGGATCATTTAGATATACAAATGTGGCTACTACATATCTAGGTAGCTGATTCTTATGGAAAGTTTTGAAATCCTACTGATTTTTTATATTGTCCCAGAATATGTAGTATCGTGATCATTTAAATCGAGACTTTTATCCTGACTTCGTGGACCAATGGACAGTGTTTTAATATAGATTCGGACACAATACTCTCTGAAAATGGTGTTACTTAAATTATTGAAAAACTAAGCTACGAACATTTACTACACGACAAAAGATATATTGTACAACCTGATATTATTATGTTATTGTCTCAACATTAAAAAACCCCGATATGTTAACTAAGGAGACATTAGTTGGTACTACAAGAGGACAGTCTGAAGACACCATAAAGCTGTTAAGGAAGAAGACATAAAAGACATTTACGCTACGCAGTTTATAAGCAGGTACACAAATCAATAAAGTAAGAACACCATAAAAAACATTTTTCTCCCCTTACATTACATACTTTCTACACTGTATGTAAAAGTTTATTGAATAAAAGCTACAGCACGACCGGTTTGTAGTTAAGTTTCCAAGGTGTTTATATCGTTGTCTTAAGTCAACCAGTCACTTGAATTCTCAGGGGCTAGATGTATTTGTGCAATAAGAGACTCAATCTCCCGAAACTACTCCATAAAGCAACCACTTATTCCCAGTGTTGACAAAGACGAATGTCTAATAGATGGATGTAGCTAGCACTTTTAATACTAAGTTTTGAGTTTGTTTCATAATCAAGGAGAATGATTTACCTGGTTGTTTCAGGGCTGTTAGATGAGGTAGACTTCTCTTAAGTGATTTTTTGGATGAGAGTGAAATCATCTAGAAAACAGTAACAAAACCTCACATAGGAAAACACTGCTCTGTTATGTTCACTTCGCAATATGCCTAATTTATTGTGTAAAGGTTGGGGATACTGCCTAACGGCCCAGACTTCAGTCAGTGGGTTGGGGTTCGAGCGCGTGACTTTATGGTTAGTAGTCAACTGCTTAGGCTAGTAAACTATACCTTCACAGATCCTATTATGACTTGCATACTGTTACTATTGAATGCAAACAATATTAAGGAAGTAACAGTGATTAGTCATATCGATTCAAGAATGCATTCGTAGCCTTGATTAAATATTGAGTTTTTCACATTCAGCATGTGTTTTCACTACTAAATTACCTTGGACAGCAAGTTGTATAGTGTGCGAACATTAGATTATTTATCTTTCTCGAAGACATAGAATGCGTTTTCAAAGAAAATGATCTCTAAGGGTGATTATAATAATGAGTTGAATGAAGAACTTTTCGGTATAATATTATTGCATGGCTTTTTAAAGTAACGAATAAGATGGTAAATACACAATTTATTTATTTCCTTTACTCTGTTGTTTGGCTACAGAATATGGTATTCGTCTGTTGAAAATGTCGAAGTCTTAAAAGTTTTTGGATAATTCTATTTTGTGCCGTTGTGTTTTATAGGGAGCTCATTGAGTTAAGGTCTTCAGCGATGCAAGTGAATTAGCTACATACGTAGTGTTATAACCTAAAATTGATGGATATAACTACGTTAAGCGTAAATTACATAAACTCAGTTACTCCTCACCTTTGTATAGAACACAAGGTTATCTGATTTCCTACGCGAGTACTTAGGCGTTGTTATTTATTTTCTGAAATTATTTTCTTGGTTAACCACTAAACAAATCTAAAAGCCTACAAGTTGGTTCATCAAATCATAACAAAACCTATCTGTTCGCATCCATAATCTGATCTCTGTTTTGAAGCTGAAATAAATCTGTCAACCCCATGTTCTGTCTTTCAGCTACACTTCGCCTTATTTGGTCCTCAGTCAATGGATGAGTGGTTTTTAAATTGTACCCAAAGGACAGTCATTGGTATTACAAGGTTTAAGAATACTCACGAGTGATAAATAGTGATCATTTCATGTATGATTATCATAAATAGTCGGTTACTGAATCTACCCACCAGCATGCACATCAATAATAGTTGAACGGGAAAAATTGTTTCAAGTTATTCAGTTCAAAAAATTTTACATATTGTTTGGGAAAAGTGCTTCTTATGATATGGTCATATTTGTTTATTTTATAATTTTGACCTCATTTTTCGCTTCTCATCAGTGGTATGGCGACAAGTTTATCTTGAATGATCCATCTAACCGGTATATAATTAAGTACTAGGCTTTAAGCCACAACTGATATGTTAAGGCTCAGGATACTACTACCCCATTACTCAGGCAGCTGTATTTAGACCGGAATTCGAACTCTTGACCCATTAATAAAATTTTGAGTACTTAAGCCAATCAACCTTATCTCTGTAAAATTATGTGTAATCATTAAGAGTTGAACCTGAATCGGCCGCTTAGAAGGTATTCGTGATAACCCCCAAATCACGGTCGAGCAATGGGTTATAGTGTTCTCTTGCAAACGATTTTGTGTTATTCCTATCAGTCAGTTATAAATTTATTTAATAGTTAAATAACTCATAAATGTTTTTTTTCCACAACAGCTTACTTCACAAATAACTCGTCGACTTCGAGACTATACGCATATTGTAACGAGTACAAGAAACACAGCTGTTCGCTTATACAAGTCGCATAAAGATACACCTCTTACACCACGTTTCGACTGTTGCAATTTGTTCGAGAGAGATTTAAGGTTAGTCATTTGAATTTAATGCAGCTAATGTTTATCATTGTCAGTAACATTTTATTATAGTAATTGTTTTATTAAAAAATATACATGGTACAACATTATTATCAAGAATTGCGCTGTTCAAAATAATATAGCAACATTAAGCGGACAACGGAAGTGGTATAGAAACCGAAAGAGAAATGGGTTGTTGGAGCAACATTTTCAAACATACGTTCAAAGAAGCACTCATTACTTTTTTCATACTTTCAACATTAGAAGAAAAAAAAGAGTTGCAACATGATCTCCGTTAGTTTAGATACCGAGCCATGTCCGCTATCATTTAAAGACAATGAGTTCCGCAATCTATTAGATCTCATCCAGGTAGTCGTAAGGCATCTACAGGTGTTAATTCGACAAAGAATATGTTTCATATCACGGTGCTATGTCGTACACTGTATCTTCTTCCGACTACTTTGAGGGCGAGTGAACGGTGTGTGTGGGCCGTTGATACAACATTCGTATTACACTTCTAAGTGACTGAAGCCCATGTTTTTAGACGATTACATTCAGTGAGTGCTGATCTCCGTCACGTCTAAACACACGCTGCTTCATCTTAGAGTGAATTATATCTTGTTTCCATTGAATGTAGGCACTCCTACGGAGACAACAGTGATCGAAGACGCAGAGTCGTCTGATATTCTGAGCTCCGATAGGCGAAGTTTCACAGATATAGAACGGAACTGTCCTCACTGATGTGTTGTACACTTGACCTTTTACAGCCAAGTCAACATCAGAACAGCGTTAAAGGTGGATCACATTAGCGTATGCCATTCGAGCTTTCCATATACTCTTAGGAATCTGACCGGCCACTCACGCATATATTAACGCTCATGCAACCATTCAGGTGCATTAGCATTTTTTTCCAACAGCAATCAGTCAGCATTTCGATATTGAAGTCTTCACTTCCATACTCTACAAATGTCAGAAATAACTGTTGAAAGTCGATCTTTCCCATTCTTATAAGTTTTAGAGCTCTGCAAATCTTATCAATCTTTGTTTACCTTTCATCTCTTCCCTCAAGTGATTTTTTCTATCTAGTGTATTTATACTGAGGTTGATTATCTTGTGCTATTTTGAGTAACGGTAACCTGGATCGATGCACTTCTATACGAGTTTCTATGTTTTTTTTTGTCGCTTTGTTCGAAGAATAGCTACTTACACAAGTTTTTATAACTGTTGTGATGGTGATATGTGTATGAAGCGAAACACACTCAGCCACCTTGTGCATATCCGTGCATTAGGCAGTGGGCCATACCTATTGTATGAGGTCTAGTGATACTACCTAGCTGCTCAAACTGGTGACTCATTGGTTGATAGTCATCTCCCTAAACCACTGAGCCGCATCTCCTCATGTGATATGTGTATATGTAACTTTGATATTCAGATCTGAATTATAGTGCGTCAACATTCATCACGTCATTAGAGTACGATGCCTAGTTAGTGTTTTATCCAAGGTAGATATCATCGAGGTTTCATATCAACTAGCGAGATTTTGTTTCGTACAATTTCATTTGAAGAGCGATTCCAATGACGTAGAATTGAGGTAACTAGTCTAGGTGATCTATTTTCAACCAATGTTGTGGATTTAAACCCTGTTCGATCTACCAAGGTTTAAATAACTCGTGCTATCGCTTACCTGAGGAAAGGACTTGAATCATTCTGTACAATATGTTGCTACAGATTGGCTAGACTTTTGACCAAAAAAATTATGTCATTGGGTGTTGTGTCGTCTATCAATCATCCAATCACCAATTACTGTTATTTTGGGCTTATGGACTGGTAATAGAGTGACCTGAACATACAGTTGCAATCGTCTTCAAATGTGTCAAAAAATAGCTCATTCCGTTAATATGAAGTTTATTATCAATTGTTTTTGAAAACTGTTTTGAAGACTTTAATAAAATAGTAACGATGTATAGACTAATGTACTAAGTTAGTAGCCCTCTGAGTTTCTTGAGGGTTGGGAACACTCTGGCTATCAAAATCTTAATGCGTGGATGATATTTTGAATCTGTTCGTTATTTTGTGATTAAAAGTTGGGCACTTTAACTGTCGAGCTGTAGATCTGAGTACGAATAAGGACATATTGAGTCTATTAGTTAAAAAATTATTTAAGTCTGTTGATCACGTTGACCACCGCCGATTTGATCTTTCAATAAGCGAATTCCAACTAGCCGTTGAATAATTACATGATTGGTCGCGTTTGACTCCAATGAACGTGAACATTTACTGATATGAAGTGGACCAGTAGAATGCGTACATTTTCAGTCTGAGCAAGTATGTAAGGCGTTTTTTTCGTCGGTCATATTGTGATACAACAGTCATGGAGATGATGCCAAAGCTCATTCGTTTACCGAATAATACACTTGTTCATTGAGGATACAAAAGTAGCTAGTCATGACAGTTGCTCAAAATATCATGTATAAAGCATGGCATTATATCGCACTTGGAGAAAAATCGTTTAAGACCATAGTATTTTTCAATGAGATTAAATGCAACAGTTCAGCATTGTATTGTATTTGAGAGTTCTTTGTTTGAGCACGAGTAATGTAGTCATGGATTTAAAAGAAATGGAATGGATCAGCTGTTGAGGTTCACCGAATTTCATGTGATTACTTGATCTATGCTAATTTCTCATTAGAATCATCGTCTAAGTTGTAACTAATCAGTCTAACGAAAATGGTATTCCGAATCCTAGGTTCTATGATCATTTGACGCCTAAGTGAAACTTGGAAACAACAAACCGGAGGAAACCAAGCAGCCTTCAGACCTGGTCGTGGTTGTATCATCCTATATAGTCACTATCCGCCAGTAATTTGAACGTAGGTACACTTGCCGGCTTCTCGACCTGAAGGCGCCATTCGAATCCATCAACCGAGAGGTCGTCTTATGGACGTTTCTCTCACTGAATGTAGTCCCAGGTAATGTAACTACCCTATTAAACGGGCTGCATTCGAACACCTGCTGGCGTGTTAGAATTTATTGCAACGGCACTTGATTGCCCTGTGCTGGATCTCATAGGATAATGGATATAGGCTTCTGAGGAGTTTGAAATTAGGATATAAGGATCACACAAGTAAAATACTAAAACCGTTTATTTCATTTTTCTTATCTCGAGTTGATTGGTGATTCGACAGACTTGGTTAGTTTGATAATAGTTACTGTTGCTGCAAAGAGATAGCAGGTTGCCACACCTCAATCAGCGCATCAAGAGAAAAGGCACGAAGATGAAAAGCAAAGGAATAGAGAAGAAAGCAGTCAAAAGTGGTAGAAGATTGTGGTAAAATGACAAGAAGGAAGAAAAAATACTGAGTTCAGTATGGCGATTAAGATAGGGGTATTGTGGGGATACATCTGTACCACTGGCATCGACTCTGAGGCATGTTACCTAGACTCTGCAACCACTGATTTCTGTTGTCACGCTGACCCCAACGTGGAAGTTCACCTTTCTCTGCACAGCTCAGCTGACATTACACAACAATGAGTACATGTTTCAGTCACCTTAATCGATGATGGTTCAGAATCCCACCAACTGACTTCCCTTTCCTCCTTAATACTCCACACTTGACTTCTGCATTACTGACATGGTGACATCACGACGCATGTCCCATGTTATGAAGGCAACAGTGACCGAACACCAGAAGCCTTCGCATTCCCTCTACCTTTAATGACCATATTTCACAGAAGTAGAGTAGAATAGAGCGAAATGCTGCACAGTACACCTGACTCTTAACCGACAATCTAATATCTCGGTGGTATAAGTTGGCCAAAGCCGATCGAACCTTTTGTATCCGTGTCGAGATTTCGTTGGTCAGTGACCCACCAGTGTTGTTCTGACTTCCCAGGTTGGTGGAGTGGTCAACAGGCTCAACCTTTTCACTATTACCTTCACACAATGAGTAGTGTGTATGAAATGGTTTTGAATCATCTGTTAGAATTGTATTGGTTTTTATGAAGTTTCACTAAGTAAGTGAACACGTGTCTGAGCAAAAAAGAATATCCCATTACATGAAGCGATTATTTAAGGGAATAGTTACTGACTAGTTATTCAGTAGCCTGGTCTTAACTTACAGACATGAGGTTTAAGAAATTATTTCTTGCCATTAGACATTGATTATGTTCATCCTGACTTTTTCAAAACGAAATTTGGAGACCTAGTCGAATGGTTCTCTCGTCAGCCTGTCATTCACATATTTATGTCTTGAGATTATTTTAATTCTTCGCCTTTTCAGATTGGATCCTGTATACGGTTGCCGTGTATCCCGACGAAAGTGTTGTGATTTGATACCAAGAAGTTTGCCGGCTACAGCTTTTAATCCTGGTCATAATCTGACCCGAAGATTTCAACAACAATTAGACTACTGGCCAAATGTGAAATGGTTCTTTTTCATAACAGCTGATGGTCTGCACACTGAATATCCAGCGCATAACTTTCAGTGTGCTGTTGTGCACCAAAGAGATTATATAGGCGATAATCAGCCAGGGGATATTTCATATTTTGGTAGCAGCGGTGCCGGTGCTATTAGTTCTGGCAGCAGTTTTCCTATTCAAACTGGTCGTATCAATTCAAGATTTCATTCACTTCAAGAACAGCAAAAACAACGGGCAAATTCTTTTTCTTCAGTCACAAATCCCTTTCATTGTCATAATTTACATCAATTTAGGCATAGGTATGTATCAGTTTTATTGCTAGAGTATTCATATCGTTTTATTATAAGGACTTACATACATTTTGAGGTATATTGCACTGATTCCATCTGGTGTTTATAAACGACCCTGGAATTCGGTGAGTGAATGCAGTACGCTTGTACTAAGTTAGGTGAAATGTATCGATATGAAAGCTGAAGGATGAATACCACTCGTTTGCTCAAATGCTTGATAGGTTTAAGCTTATTTAAAAATGGACTGGTTACATCACCAACCTACATCTGTCATACCAGGTCGAATTGAATGACCTCTCTTGGTATATGGGCTCCTGTTTGGACGTCTTGGTATTGCCTATTAGTTCATTATGTTATCATTTACTTGGTGGTTTTTAGAAAGGATACCTGTTGCACAAGAAGTGACTATTGTGCCCCAGTGACCTTGTGGGAAGCGCTTTGGCATTTGAAGAGTTGGTTGCAAGGTTTAAGTCTCAGCGACAACACCATTGCTCACTGGGTTGCAAGTGGACCTGACTGACGAGTCCCGAATAGAGTGAAACACATGTCTTGGATTCCATATATATATATATATATATATATATATATATATATATATATATATATATATATATATATATATATATATGACTCATTGCTTAGTACGGTGACGTATTTACGGCATATGATGTTGACAGTGGACATCAGACAAACATCTTCACTTCCTTCAAGATAATGAACAAATAAAAAGCCCAATTCTCCTGAAGTTCGTTGAGGGCCGTAGCCATCAAGCACTTCAAACCTGACTTATATGTTCGAAAAGAAGTTCTAGTCAACCTCTGCCTACCTTGGTAACCTTTCTTAACTTTTATTTGATTGCATCATCCTCTGTTGTATGCAAGTGTTTATTCCTTCACTCTTTTGTTTATATGGAATGGCTTAATTAACCGAGCTTAACTCGTAACATTCTGCATATTTTGTTGAGTAACTTATTTATCGTTTGACCTACTTAGTCCTATAATGTTAAGTCCCTTAATTTAGATTGCTACTCCTGTCGTGACTTCTACTCGAGGAACTTCCACTGGATTATGTATATAGTTGCAACAATATTCTACTACCACTGTCACTTTAAATTGGCTACTCTCTCCAGTGACCAATCAGTATATCTAATCTAGTCCTACAGGCCAATCGCAACCCGAATAGCTCAGTGGTAACAACGCCGACGACAACACTGGCTGACATGGGTTGGAATCTCTCAGGGTAAATCAGTTCCCCCATGGTTGCAGGTACGCTTTGCTGATGAATGCCAACAAGCGCGAGCAGGGCTTCCTACAGATTGCCCGCGATCAACTAATATCCATCACAATGCACTGCGATAGTGAGTCTCCTAGCTTAGTGGCCACATTGCAAACATGATCGATTAAATTCGGTTAGCACTCAGGAGTAGATAACAGCGATCAGTCAATGTGTAGTGTTAAGATCTAAGATTTAGATTGCTACTGCTGTCGTCATTTTTACTCGAGAGACTTCCATTGGATTATGGATATAATTGTAACAATTTGTTACTATCTTCTAACCTTCCTTGAATTTGCCGTTGATTAAGTTTTACTTTGTGACTTTTTCTGTTCGTTTAAACCACTGACCGATATTCTGTTTCCTTTCAATGAACTAAAGTATGTTAATTTTAACTGGATTTGTTTTATCCCGCTCTCATTGTTGTTCTCACTGTTTTGAAATTTTTGAAGGGGAATTCGTGGATAAAATTTCCTAAGAAAGGTTTTTGTCAGCTCTTTACACAATCGATTCTTTAGTGTATCTGCCGTTGTATCCAGTAATTCATAAGTGGTGTTTTCTTTGGAGTTTTAGGGACTTGCTTTTGGTGTTGTTTAGGCTGTATGTTCCTCTGAATGAATCTTGTGGAGAGCCGTTTTCGACCAATACTTTTCAGAGTACTTTCAGCTTTTTATTTATTACATTGTTTCTAAAAGTCCTTCCGGCTTCTGTACATAATCTTTCACCTCCTAGCTGTACTTAGCTTTGAAAATCATCGTATTGTCTATTCCATGATGTCTTCTTCACGCATGTCAAAGTTTGATTTCATATATTTAACATTATTATTCCGTTCACCATAAGTATCACTTTTGGAGCCATTGACTACAGTAGATCGTGGAAATATCCAGTCATGATGTATTCGACTCGGTTTCAGGTTAACTCTGTGGGTTGTATTAAAGTGATCTTCAAATCGTGTATCGTTGACAGACACTGTCATACGGAAGGATAACAACATTGCAAACACATATTACTAGTTTAAAAAGGAGTAACTTATACCATATGAACAGCAATCCTTTTTAGTCATATTTTTGTTGCGTTTATACTGACTGTACATATGATGTGGCTCATGGTTTTAATTAGTCGACTGTCAAGTAATAGGTCCTAGGCCCGATTTCCACTTCACCTACTTCGACTTGGCCGATGCACTAGTGTATCACCACAAGTGCGTGACCATTCTGTCATAGAGTTAGAGTTCAATGATCCACTTTTCCTTCTACTCTCATGGATTTATAGCAATGGTATCTCACATAGTTTTGTACAGATAGCATTGAACGCAAAATAAGTAGCTGGAACAGTTGTGGAATTTTAAGTTACCATCACTTACAACAACTTAGTCACAGGAAATAGAGAAAAGGCAAAATAATAAAGCAAAATTATGTTCAGTAGTAGTAACAAATCAAGAGCATAGAAAGTAGATACATCTACAATGCTGCGATCAGCTTTCAACCTTATTAATTCGAATCTGCAATCATTGACTTCAGTCGTCTCGCAAACCTTAATCAGAAAGACTACTACTATTTCCTGTACATTATTTCACCTTGCTTTTCGGGTCATCTGAAATCGAGTGCATTTGTTATTGACAGAGCATGGGTTCTAATTTCACATACTGCTGAAGATCACTATAGTGAATGAAATTCTGTATCCATGTTACGCATATTTCTTCTTGGTTATCTGACTCATGTCCACTTGAGCATGAAAACTACTTTAATGCTGGCTTTAGAACACTGAGATTTCATTCCGATATTACAGTCTACCTATACATGTTATAATAAAACAGCTATTTTCTGAGATTGCATTTCGAACCCTTGAATTACCTATTTGCTATAATTGTTACTATTGTTTCTGTTCAGAAATGCATTTATTCGATCGATTCTCCCAAAACCAATATGGATGACAATTATATTGGATCAAGGTGAAGCTAGTCAAACTCAGTTATTGCTTGGTCAACGTGTTGCACATATTTTACTTGCATCATTGAGCGAAAAAGATTACGTCAATGTTCTGCTTGTCTCGGATAGTGTTATACATGGTTTAGAGTTAAATAAAAGTGGTCATGATAACAACAATGATTATAGTAGCATATTGAAACAATTGAATTTTTCCATGCACAAAATTCAAAACAATCAGTCATATGTTGATCTGGATGATGAGTTAAAGTCGAATTTTCAACAGAATAGTCAAACAGTGGGATATGCATATAAAGCTACTGAGGAAATTAAATTGGTAATTTGTCAAAAAACAATGAAGTTATTTTATTTTTGCATTTGCCTATGTGTGTAGCTTTTCTTCTGTGGATAGCTATACTGATCTGAGGAGGCTACGCTTCGAGGGATTCGTGATGCACCCTGTTCACCAACGTTTATTGAAGTCACTTCACTAAACGCTAGTAACCCAAATGTTTGCAGCTACATAGAGAACTATGAGAAGTTTCTGTTCATATACAGTGAGAATAGGTAGTGATAATCTTCAGAGTAATGCTAGGTTCCATGTTGATATTACCTGATTGACTGAGGTCACCAGCTGCATGTGTCGAGCACTCACCCACCCACCGGGGGGGGGGGATTGGTGCATTTAACGCTGATTTGGTTTCTTTTTTTTCTTCTTTGTTGTCATTATTATTATTGGTTATCTAGGTACTATTTTAGAGTATGGCAACTTAAAGCCATAGTGTCATGTTCTCTCTCTCTCTCTCTCTCTCTCTCTCTCTCTATATATATATATATATATATATATATATATATATATATATATATATATATATATATATATATATATATATCCAATTATTTGATCATATTCAAGAGTAAGTGGTTGTTGGATAATGTAGAGTCTTCTAAACGCCTTCTATTTGAAAGAGTAGTTGGGTACATTGCCAACTTTGCTTTCACGAGAAGTTAAATTAGCGTGACGAAATTTCAGCTTAAACTCAAAAGACTCGTCTGACACTAATCAACTTACTTCATTTCTGGCCTTGGTAAAGTATACGAATACTTATGAAAGGAAGAATATACTGTGCTGTATTCTGCTCTATCGTTTTATGCGGTTATGGAACAAGGTCTCTGGAAGTAGATGGAATTAAGGGATTACAGGTTTTCGACCATAGGGTTTTCGTAGTATTGCTCGTGTATGGTGGAATCAATATGTTAGCGCTTTCAACATCAGGTGTAGGATGCTAGACAAAGGAGATAGGTCAGTTGGTAAAGGTTTCAATCTCCATCAATTGAGGTGGCTTGGACATACTGCGCATACCGATCCACCGACCACATCAACACACAATAGTAGCCGAAGTAGCATTGAATTAGAAGAAATCTAAGGTTAGTCAAATGAGGATGTGGCGCTACTCTGAAATAAGCATCGTATCCTCTACCGTGATACTTTAATTGAGTGGTTGACATTATTATTGAGCAGTATTCGTCTCTGATGTTTGTCTGGACTGTTTCTTTTTCCTTATGTACGACTTGTCAGTTGGGTGCATTTGTGTTTCACTTAACCAATCGTTGAAGCTCTTGGTTTTGAATATGAAATTAACTACTTATAACTAACAGGTCACAGGTTTTGAAAATCTTCATAACTCTTTGAAGTATTGAGATCCTAGTTATATGATACACGATGTATTACTGAATGTTAGTAACCAATAATCTTAAAATTCAAGTAAAGGAGAGCTTTATAATCACTTTTTTTGCTCTTGGATTGTCTTTTCAGTATTTTGATCGATTCATTCATAGTGTCAATCGTCCTTTACCGATTAAAACAAATCATATTAAAGCATTCTATCATGCATTTCAAACAATCATCACAAATATGAAACGATTCCATAGTGAAGTGAATCAATCCAACTCTATAGAAATTCCAGGTATTTAGAATTTTGTATTGAGTCCATGCATTTCATATTAAAATTTTTGTCTTACTCAATCATATGGAATGCTGATAATCTCTTTAGATTAATTACCAATTAGTTTGTGTTACATGTTGGTATTCTTTAAACTTTTTCAATCTTGAAGACTAAAAATCATCCAAAGTGTTTATTGGCCTACTGTTATCTGCATACAAATCATAATTATCCACGGAGTTAACTAGAAGCGTAGCTCATTGGGTGAAGCACTTGACTTTTTCACATTAGGCCCAGGTATAAACTGCAAAACAGCTGCTTCGATCTACGCAGTCCGATGGTATCATCAGCCTTTATACAGTATATCTGACTCATAAGTTGTCCACCTTCTCTTTGGTTTTTAATTTGCCGAAATCAAAAAATTCAAAACCTGAGAATCAAATATCGTCTGTTAAAATAGCGAACTTAATAACAAGACTATAAGTTATAGCCATGATAGGGGTTTGATAAGTGAAGGCAGGAATATGCTAGATTTGAGTCTATCGATCACTGAAGCTAAGTAGTATAAAAGATTATAAAAAACTGAAGCACATACGTGGGTAATACATATACGAGCCTGTGTATCAGTCTGGACGTGGCACCTATTATTTATCATCTCAAGGATTTGCACTCCATTCAATGGTTGTTAATAATTGAACACTGAGCAAAAGCAAAAAAAGAAAATTGTAAAGGATTATTTAATTTCAAAGCAATTTTCATCGACCATTAACATCAGTTGAAGAACCATTGAGATGCCAATAGTAATGAACATCTGTTTCATCCTACTTGGGGACTCCTCAGCGATGCATGCCGATGACCTCCTCTGAGGTCAAACACAGGACCGGAAAGTGTGGTAGCATGTGCGTTGCCAACCAGCTTTTGGTTCGTGACCTTTGAGGTAAACCAAGTAAGAAGGGAAGACAGTCACTCATCAAAGATATTAGATAATGATCGCTCTCTATCAGGAATTGATAGGATTAGCAGTAGTAGACCATTGGATTGCAACATATTGGTTGAGTGATAGCGTGCTCATCACGAAACACGACTACTCTAGGCTGTAATCCTACACGAGGTCATGTGTACGAATTGCTTAAGAGTCCTAAACCGTAGCAACACAGGTGTACAGCGCTCCTAAAACTTCAGTGTCACTTCAATTGATATTGATTTATGATAAAGCTGTTTTGATATCAATGATTCTGTACAAACAACCGGTTGGATAATTAAATTTTTTCTGTGCTGAAACGATGCAGTCAGATAGAGAGGGAAGGTAGGAAGTGTGAATTAATATATGCCTAACATGGTAAGTGTGCATAGTGTTGACTCGCACTTCAATAAATAGATTTTTATTATGCATCATGGACTGACATCAGTCAGAGAATCTCTGAAAACTTTGGAGCAGTGAACAGCAGATTCATCCCAGCGTAGAACTCAGCAATGCGCACTTATGACCCCGCCAGGGATTGAACCAAGAACCTTTAGGTTTCGTGGCCAACACTCGGTCATTGAGCCACTCCGTCGGAATCCATTAGTCCCATTTTCTTACTTCTACCAGTTTGCAATATAGCGCTACCTCAATCCAATGCCGTTGTTGAGTAACTGTCTCTATGTATCTGATGAATACTAACTTGAGATCAATAAACTAAATCCCCACAAATCTCCATGTTAAATTACCGTCTTATTGTCGCCAGTGACTTGCTTAGAGATGAGATTTCCGAAGTTCTAATGAGAAGTCGTGACCGGTGGGGCGAACCGAGTCGTTTGTAAAAACAGCTACTTGACGACGCCATTGGATGGAAGTCTCGTTATATCACAAACTGGCAAAAGTAGGAAAATGAAGCCATTGGATCCCGACCTAGTGGATTAAGGGTGATGTGCTGGCCGCGGAATCTGGAGGTTTTGTGTGCGGTCCTTGGCCGGACGGGGTCACAGGCGAGCACTGCAGAGGGGTCCCAAACTGGGACGAAACTGCGCCCTAGTGCTTCCAGGTTTCCAGTGATATTGCAACTGATGTCAGTCTGTGAGAATAATAACTTGAGATCAATAAAATAAATTCCTATAAACCTCTGATTTGAATTAAATTTTAAATAGCCGGTCATTTTTCATAGCAGATTTCTGCTGAAGGTGACAAGGTTGATCAAATTGATATATTATACGGAGGCTTGAAATCTTCAACTGTTGATCCCTACTTTGGAATAAACTATAGATTTTAGATATTAGGAGTCAATAGGCAAGCAATTTTAGACCTAGGTTTCGTGCTTATTGGCACTTATCAGCAGGGCGTATCTGCAAACATAAAGAGATTAGTTTTCCCTCAGTGATTCGAATTCACATTACTAATCAATGCTGTAGTCAGAAGACTAACCGCTAAGCTGTTTAGGCCACAACTTATCCGTTTTAGGAGTGGATTACGTGCCTAAATTGGTCACCAGCAGGTAACAGGTGTACCTATCTAGTCCTTAGTGTTTAGCAATAGTCGAATTCTACCGAACAAACTGTATTTTTCCTGGTTGGTGTCAGGAAACCGAAACCATGCTACTAATGCATGAAAAATTGCCCTATCTTCTCCTAACCCTCTAACATATCTGTCGTGTTCAAAAATTTTAATTCCTTGTCCTAAGTCTTATCTATCCGGGATATTCGATCCTCAAGGATGAGCAATTGCACTTTTAAAGAAATTTCTTCTCGTCGCTTGTCCGTTTTCTGTGGACTGTTTGTTTTTGGTGGGTTCTAGTGGCGCTGGCTTCATATTGACTAATTTCCCACTTTCAATATGCTAACTTATTTGGTTACCTCCAGGGTATTTCCATTGGTTTAGCAAGTTGACTTTCAACCTGTGGGTCGCAGATTCAAACATCACTCCACCTACCAAGGTTTGAGCAGCCAGGTATTATCATTATTCCTCACACAATAGATGTTGTTCAGTGCTAAATATACGAATGTGAGCAAGATTGCTAAGTGCATTTCGACTTTCAAACGCCAATGAACTGTACCTATGTGAGCATACGCGATCTGGTTGAAGTAAACCGCTTCAATCTGTTGTTGCTTTCTTCTCTGTGTAAGCTGAGTGAGTTACAAAGAATTGTGTTTTTGTTTGTCGTTGCAATCGCAGATCAGGCTTCCAGGATCTAGTGTTACTGCCAATCTTCCACGCTGTTTAACTTCCCACTATACATTTTGCTTTCTTGATTTTCATCTCTTCATTTCTCTTCTTACTTATTTCCCCAGATTTTGTCGATGTGGATTGTGGTAATTTAAGTTTAAACACTATGCTTATGTCTGTCCTTGTTGTGCATTTTAGCATTTTGCTTTTGAATCCGACCATGGACCTGGGGTGCCGACCCGGCTTGTAGTAAGAAGCGCGCCATTTTTAGGACCGACCTTTTATAAACACCCTTTTATATAGGAATGGCAGCATTAGCATTGGACTGGTGGTCATCTCAGCGAAATGCCTTACTGTTTTCACAATTCCATCCAGCCAGCAGTACGATGGCCTTTTCAGAAACCCAGCATAACGTAAACATTTACACTATAACGGTAACTAGGCAAGCAAGTGAAGACGGTCGATGAGGTTGTGAACCTACAGCGACTGAAGTGCTTTGGGGGTGTATTGCGCATGCTGAGCCACCGCTTACCTCGATGTTCAATGCTAGACGAAGTTGGATTAGGTTGGAAGTGGGTTTAAAACGGCCATACCAAGACTTGGTACCAATGTATGAAGTCTCTAACTGTTGGTCTGAGCCGTGTGCGGAGATGTAATCTGCTTCACTAGGGTCCCTGAGATGATAGGAATTAGTGCTTGGGGATTCTTGGTGACATAGCTGACTGACTGGTTGACAAAACCAACATATAACCGTGCACACAGGTGCATCGGCTCAAGTTGTCACACTTCACAGTCATACACAAAGAACAAGTGCATGGAAAAAGACTGATACCAAAGTAAACGAAGTTGTGTGAGAGAAAAAACAATTGGAAGATAAATTTTAGTGTAAATATTCAAGGTTTAGGAGAGCCACAGAGTGAATACATCCGCACCATTGTGACCGATTTTCAATCCCGTCACCAAGATTACTCAACCAACTGATTCCCTTCGTCTCAGGGACTCCTGACAGACAGTCTACATCCGCCACACAAGACTGAAACAAGCAGTCTAAAGACTTCTTTGACTGGAGTGACATCTTGGTTTATCCACCCTCAACCCTCTTCCAACCTACTCCAACTTCCGCTAACATGGCACATCGAGGTAGGCGGTGGCTCGGTGTAGTGGTCGACATGTTCCACTTCACTCTCCATCATTAAGCCGAGAGTACCTGCAGCAGACTAGTCTTAGAGCATCATCTTATATTTGACGGGCGCGAAACGCATGCCAAACATATTCACATTTCTGCTCAACGCGTTCACAAGGCCTTGCGTTTCCCCAGTGTCTTCACCTAGCAGGACAAAATCGTCTGCATACTTCAAGTCAATCAGATGACCTCCAGGGAGTAGGTCAATCCCTGTGAAGTCAGAATTACCTAAGGTTATGTCCGTCAATACATCTATAAGGACGTCGAATATGAACGGTGACAGTAGGCATCCCTGTCAGACATCACTACTTATCGTCAATTCTGAAAACAACTCTACATGAGTCAAAACACGGCTGCGTAGGTTTGAGTAGAGCGCTTTGGTAATCATTACATACTAGCCCGGTACTTCTTTCACAGACTGACCCAATACCCACGGTTGACTGTCTCAAATGCTGTCTACGGGTCAAGAAATATGGCAAGTGGCAGCCATCGGCAAGTCTGCCTCTATTCTAAACCTGTCGTAGAGTGAAAATTTGATCGATAGACTTTCTTCCAGGTTTCAAACCTGTCTAGGTTTTTCGATTTTGCTGTTCTCAAGCTGCAGTTAGGCGTCGGATAACTATAGAGCTTAGTATCTCGGACACAATTTCAGTCAAACTTATTCCGCTATTGTTGTCATAAGACAACTTCTCTCTCTTCTTAGAGACTGGGATGGTCAATGATGTAGACCAGTCTGATGACACTACATCTGGTTCCCACACTACTCAGTACTCCGTTACTTCAATAATCAATTTCCTACTCTTGTCCTTGAAAACGTCAGGTGGTGCACTGTCAGGTCCTGCTACTTTTCATCGTTTTAGGTTCGATACAGCCTTCTCAATTCAGAGAAAGTTGGAGAGCCGACATCTACATCCTATTCAGGTTCAGGCTGGAAATTGCTCACAATAACGTGGATGTATTCACTCTGTGACTTCTTCCAAAGCTTGAATATTTTCACTAACCCTTATTTTTAGACTGTTTAGTCTCTCATAGAACTATGTCTACTTTGATATCAGTCTTTTTCTATCCACTTATTCTTTCTGTACAACTATGAGGTGTGACTAATTGAACCGATACGCTTTCGTGCAAGGTTCTATGTTAGTTTTGTCTGCCTGTATGTCTACTTACTTATTATTAGATGCATGTACCTACATATTTTTTTTGGTTCACACTCCATTTTCTAGAACATATCATGGTAGCCTACATAAGTCGAGGTTATTTAACTGATCTTACAGAGGCATCAACAACTCTACGTCTTGTCTCAGCCTATCAGGCCTACCTTAACAACTCTGTACATATATGTACGTATATGCCAACCGAAGAGAAAAGCACTACAGTGTTATTTGAGCAAACATTTATGAAAGATTTGGCTACAAGGTGAGTTATGGATTAATTAAGGTTATTTTAATATTTTAATATCAACTGGTAGACCATTGAGAACCAGGGAGCACTAGACTGTCGTTTCGTATAAGTCCTGGAATCCTCAGTGGCGTACACTCAGGACTTGATGGGTCGAGAGGCGTCGTGGCAAGCACATTGCAAGTCAGCCGCGTGGTGAGAACTCGACGGTTTACCCTCCTGCAACTGTCGATTTACAACATGGCTAAACCATCACTCATTGTCATATGATTTAGTACTCGGAATAAAATGATATTTAAATTTGCTGCGTTTGAGATTGGATAGTTGCAGATTCTTTGGAGGAGGAGGGAAAAAAAAGAAGGGGAATGTCTCGTTACCTCAAAACTGTTAATTTTCGTAGCTTAAGACACTGTCACTAATATTTTCTATTCTTAAGCTACTTTTCTCTAGAATTAGGACCCATTTTTATGTAACTCAGCAACCAAATATTATGTGATAGGTAATGATATTACTGCCTAGCCGTCCATAATGACAACAACTGAAATAACCAATTAAACTTCTTCATTTTATGAAAATTTACCTTTCCAGCTAAAATTGGATATTTCAGACGTTTTTAGAACGGCCTTAAACGTCACTCTAATGTTGTTCTGTCTGCCGGATCGCACTTTATGAGTATCATATCGGCAAGTAAGCTGATTTAACCAGTCCGCGTGATCGATGCTGGTATACTGAGATGTATAACTTGAATGTTATCAAGTGATAACAACCTTCTATACACCCAATTGTTTGGATATAACCGAAATTGCTTGCGAATGGACACAGGATATTTACAGGCCATTTGTTAGCAAACTTTCTATGTACAACTAGTAACGCGTTGATAAAGCTGAATAGCATATCGATAAAGCACATATATAAACAGCAGTGAGTGACTTTAAAACTATTGAGATAACCCATTACTTTTCGCCATTTAACCTTTAAACTGTCTTTCTAGTCGGAATACTGAGACCTGATTGGTTATTACAGTAGTTGCTAAGATGATCCTTAAAATCACCCAAAACAGCCATGTCGATTTTTGAAATAAGTGACTCTAAAGGCCACCCTGAAGTCTGTTCAAATCACCAATTGAATTTACTTACTTTGTCAAAAACTACCCTTCAGTGTACTACTGACGAGTCCCGTACTGGGACAAAACAACTGTCCAGTGCTCCTAGGTTTTCAATGGTTCCCCAACTAATATCAGTCTATGGTAAATGCCAACTTGAAATCAGCTGTTACCATTATCATTCATTCAGCTCGGATGAGACATGTGACCTGGTTGTCCGTATACAACATATCATGTTAGTTCTGCTTTTTTTCTCCCTCTTCTTTATTTTCCTAGATGGTCATTTTATTCACTTTCAAATACTTCTACCATCCAACTTAATAAAATTTTCCCACCGAGACAAGGTCATTTCTTCCCAATTAATCGTACAACTGATCTATCAAATACTGTTGGAAGATTCTATGAAATTTTTTACAAATCGTCTACAACAATTATTTCAAATTATAAAACAAGCACAATATCCAGTCGAGGAAATATTCTCGAACCATCAGTTATCTCATCACGTACAGAGGATGTGACGATTGAAATTGAACAGGACATTATAAGTGATAAGTCTAAATTATCTAGTGAAAGTGAACAAGATAACTGGGGGACTGTTGATTCTTTAAATATCCTCCATTCGCCTCAAGATGATAATTCATCATTACTTACTCGTCATTATGAGAAAGATAATTTGAAGAACTCACATCTGCCTGAAATGTTTCCTGTTCAATATTCTCTTCCTCATCATGACTTAGAAGGTGGAGACTTAGTGATAACAATAAGTCAAGCATTTGTAGATCAGGTGGGTAAATGATTTCACAAAAAGGACTTGTTTTGTTGTTTTCTTTATGAATAATATCATGACAACAATCCTATCCCCTTACTAACTAGGTTTTAAGGATAAATTTACTTGTGAAAGTGAGGTGTGACTAGTTAGACCACTTCGTAGTAATGCCAAGTCGTATGTTAATCTTGTCTCCTTGTCAGTGTTGTTTATAGGAATAAATTGATCGATCCGTATATTGTTAAGTGATTGCTTGCATTGATCTGTTAGAATACCATTATTTGGAGTGAAGCCAAAAGCTTGCGTTTTCCCTTATTTAGGACTCATCAGGTGGGTGTATTTTATACTCCTCTGCTTGTCACTACAAAGTAAGTACGTTTATTTGTATCCTACGACTAAATGGTACTGGAAATATGAAAATATTTGGTTCGATTATTGAGGGTGGATATGGTAGTGCACTAACATTTATCCATATTTAGAAGTACATACATACAATATCAGTGTTTTACTTTCAATGGATGTGGTGTGTATACTGAAGACATACATCAGGTCAGAATCAACATAGGACCTGACAATACCGCATAGAATTTCGGGTAAAGCAAGCACTGAAGTGTTGTGTAATGATTATCAGTAAAGTAATTTTTGCATACACCCATAATTTGAAGTAGTGTAGTCAACAAATCAACAATGCTTCTAATGAAATACTCTATTCAATGCATAGATATGATCAGGAGAAATTTAGTAGACTGTATGCCAGCCTTATATGTAATTGTTTAAAGGTATGTTATCTATTTTACTTAGTAGGTTAATGTATGTTCGGTGGTTACTTATTGTTCTTTGTCTTTCTTTGTTGTCAAGGTGACCTTGGATTTTCTAGGCATTAAACGTTTAACTCCTCGAAATACCACCTTTTATACAGCTTTGCTACACTGTTAACCGTCATTAAGTTTGTCTCATACTGAGATACACTAACGACAGTCGTTGAATTTGTTCTGAAACTAACTGTTATTAGGGTATCAATTATTGCAACTTATAATCTTATCTGAGGGATTTCTAATAGAAACCTTGTTGATACATCCAACTGTAAGAAATGTCAATATGAACCGTGTAGTTTGCAAATTAATTGTCATCCATTCTGTAGTTGACTAGTCCACTGCAGTCCATAGGTTATCAGAATCAGTTGATATGAACAATTTAGCTGTATGAGTTGGAATTAGTTTGGGATAAGATTGTTAATGAGTTAAACTTCAAGTAAACAAGAGTGTCATATAATCTATGACATTCACGAAGCACTGTATGCAGTGTTTATAACCTTCAAAATTGCGATCATCTTCATTAATTTGGAAATCGAATTGTAAATAATTTCTTAAATTTAGTAATAAACTGGGACATTTCATTCAAAATTACACTGGGGGAAAAAGAATTAAAAGTTTAATTTGTATCAATACTATTGTCCAAAACTCAAAAGTATTATCCACATATTGCTCTGAATTTAGACAGATAGTAAACCACACGTTTGCTAACTTAAAGCATTTATGACCGTTCTGAGTTAGTCATTAACTTTTATGTATAAATAACCAATGTACCAAAGTGACTGTAAAGAGGCCACCTTTGGAACGATTGGAATGACCATTTGGGTTTGTATATTTCGACTGGAAAGGTCATTTTTTTGTCAAACGAAGAAGGCTAATCGGGGATTTCAGCGGTTACTGGGGTAAATTTTAGGGTCACTTCATATATCAAAGTATTGGTGGGAATATAGACTTTAAAAGATAACCTAAGCAACTCCTGAAATAACCAATCAGACTTCTCTATTTTACGAAGGAATTATTTTTACAGTCGGGATATTGAAACCTGATTGGTTGTTTCAACAATTGTTTGTTGTCGCCTGTTGAAGATTTGAGTTACATGGAGGAAAGTATTCCACTGATTCATACATTAAATATGGATGTTGAAAATCAGTGACTGTAAAGGCTCCTTTAGTTTTTTTCGTAAAATAACGAAACTTAATTGGTTATTTCAGTAGTGGGTAGTGTGACCCCTAGAGTTACTCATAGTAAGTAGTCACTAGAATCTTTGTTAGGCGTAAAGATTGGTCACATCAACTCATTACACTAACCTTTCTTTCCCAGTTATTACAAAATTGGTCAACCTTTTTAGGCACATTGGCTCCTATGCGGATACCTCGATATTTCCTAGATATTTATGATACTTTAATTAATGGTGGCCAGGACGAACGTTTCTTCTTATTGTGGACTCGTCAGGTAGATGTGCCTATATCCCAATGTGTTGCTCCCGCTGGGACTCGAACCTGGCACCTACTACTTTAACCGTCAAAGCGTTATCTAATAGGCCACTGAGGTTCGAGAACCATATCATGTGCAATAGGTATCAGTTATTGTTGTCCATCGGTGCTTGTAATTTCCCGTTATAGTAGATCGAGTTGTTCAACCTGTGTTGGCATATAAACAAATAATTATATTAACTAGTACCCGCTGCACAACAATCGTCTTTCGAGCCACAGTGACCTGTTGAACAATGCTTTGGCATTTGCAGAGATGGGTGAGGGGTTCGAGTCTCAGTCAGAACACCCTTCACTCACTGGGGTGCAGGTAAATTCAACCGACGAACCCTAAATGGGACGAAACACATGTCCTGGTTTCTGTTGATAGACACCACCACTACCATCTATGTATTATCGGTTTATTACTGTTCTTTCTCTCTTTAAATATGATTGAATTTTCAGGATAATTTAATCGGTGTCATGGGTATTGATATCCATTTACTAGACTTGGTTGATAATCTGTTGCACTTCACATCTGATGCAATAGACGGTGGGGCTGATAGTTCAGTTGCGTTTTTAATACAAACTCCTGACGGTTATACACTATCACATCCAGCGTTAGCGGATACTCTGTCGAAAGCTTACCATCAACAACAGCAGCATTTATTTCTCAGTCGACCGACTAGTTATTCATCTAATAAACAAAGAATACTGTTAACTAGAAATCATTGGAATGATCGTGGAGTTCGACGTTTTGATAATATGCCGAATGGATCGATTCACCAGTCATTTTTTCCTTCTAATGATAACAATCAACTATGGGTTGCACGTGGTAGCGGTGTCAGTAGCAGCTGTTTATCGAACTCAAGAACTAACCCATATTTCAGTGATTCTAGACAATATCATCAACAACAATCCATACTGAATCCAGATATTAGTCAATTGGAATGGATTCCTGGTTTTCAATCATTGGTTAGACCACGTTTATTGAATGAGTTCTCCGGTGAAGTTGGCCTTTTAGTAAAAATGGTACGTTGATTTCTTTATTTTTTTTTTCTCTGTCGATGTTATGTACTAGTTTGGAAATGACATTCATACCAAACTGTGACATTAATTCATCATCATCATCAAGATCAACATAGGACTAGGCATTACTGCTAACTGTCCAAGTTGCCATACCTCATGTCACCACATCAAGTACGAAAACAATAAAATGGAAAATGAAGAGGGAAAGAAAAATCGATCAAAAAAAGTTGAAGTAGCAATAGAAAGCAGTAAAAGAGAGAAAGAATGAATGAGATGATAATGAGATTAAGTATAGCGATTAGTGTGAGGATAGTGTGTGTATACATCTGCTCCACTGACATTGATTCTCGGCCATATCACCTAAATTCTCCAAACACTGATTTCTCTTGTCCTACGGACCCCAACCTGGCTAGTCTGCATTGCCTTACATGGCTCAAACCAACAGTCAAGGTCTTCATGCATTGATGCCATGTTTTAGTCTGGCCACCTCGAGCCTTTTTCCAATCTAAACCTACTTCGGCCACATTGAGTAACGAGGCAGATGGTGGTTAGGTATGCGTCGTAACATGCGGGACAGTAACTAAAGAAGTCTTGAAAGTTGGTAAACACTGGATATATGTTTCACCTAAATTTTCGAATTCACCAGAAGTGCGTACACTGGAAGACATTACACGAATTTATAAGTGGTTTATTTCACTAAGCTAAATTGTCAAATGTGTTCTAATTAGCAACCATTTTTTGGACCATATAATTTCTGGGGAAGATGAGCATAATTTAATAGCTCTTGTGGAAATGCTGAGTATTGAGTTCTTGTTTGGTTTAGTGATTGGATGATGTTTTGCCAAGAGACGTATTGTTGTGACTTTGACTACCAGTGCGCCTTTCTAATCGACTAAATAAACTAAGTTTAGATGGTTTTCGAATACTTTCTTACCGAATATCATTTTCCAATGCAACATTTCAAGTTACTCAGTGCCTTGGGACTGTTTGTTTTAGCGAAATCTACCAGTCATAAGCAGTCTCTTTTTCGGAACTAGATGTTGATGGGCTGTTTTCGTAGCATAGTCTATGTGTTCGTGGAATGACCACATCAGTAACGCAGAAGTTGGACGTTCAGTTTTAGACAATAGACATAATTTCGTGAATAAGGTTGCCTCATCTGGTAATATTAACTGAAGTAGGTTTATGCTATAGAACGATTAAAAACGCCTACACAAGAACATAGCATCAGTCCCTGATGTCTTTGACTGTTGGTTTGAGCTGTATGTGGAAATGTAGACTGCCCTTCTTTAGGTTCATGTGACCACTGAAAGCAGTGATTGAAGAGTGTAGGCGATTTGGTTGTAAATTCCTGTGAGTTGTGCACATGCATCTACACATTATCTTCATCTTGATCATCATAGTTAATTTTACGGCTGTATTGTTACTTCTTGTTGCGTTTAAACAAATCTCTACCATTTTTGACTGCCTTCCCCCCCTTTTTCTGTGTCTTTCATCTTGGTGCCTTCTACCTTGATAGGCTGATATGAGGTGTGACAACTTGAAGCATTATACGGTAGTGCTAGGTCACATGTTAACGCTGTTTGACTGAGTTTTTCTCGCTGGAATTAACTACGTTATTCTTTATAGTTGTTACTCTACCCTATCGTAGTGTGTAGTTCCATGTTATCACATGCATGGTTATAGCTGAATTCTGTACCAAATGGCTCTATTAGTCATGTCATTTAAGTGTAACTAAGTTTCTATGTTCTGTTAACCTGATTGACCCTTATCGACCAGTTTCACCTATTAACGTTTTACAGGCAGTGCAAGGTATTTGGTAAGTTGACTTATTTTTTCGGATTGAGTCAGCAGATTCCTACCCAGTGACTCAATGGTAACGTGCTAGTTGCGGAATCTGGAGGTCCTAAGTTCGATTTGTAGCTGGAGCTCAGCTGCGTACGTACTGTTGAGGAGTCCCATACTAGAGCGATACAGCTCTCTACTTCTCCCAGGTTTCCATTGTTTCTCCAACTGATGTCAGTTCATAATGAATACCAACCTGAGTCAGTAGAATCCATAAGCTGCAAACTTCGCCTTTGAATGAACTACACTCTAGTCCCAGCCTGATTACAAATCCTACATAGAGTTCTTGATGTTCCCTCTTAGAGACAAATTAAATCGCTTCTTAGTTGTGTCATCATCATTTTTCATGCCACAACTTTTCTTTATTCCATTAATTCCAAAGAACTTTCGATTAAATTCAAGATCGTAATTCAGTAATAAAGGCACTCTTACCTGTTTCGTTTCCTTATTTAGATTTTCTGACTCTCTGGTTAGACTCATAGTTTGATCATCAAAAGATTTGATGAAAGTAAAGTTATGCTCATTAATATGGGGTGAGACGACCCCACATTTGGATATCTGTGTGGCGGTTTTCTGTAGATACTCATGTCTAGACCACTATCTTGTCGTTTTTTATTTTACAATTTAACGTAGATGATTCTTCCTATTGATATTCTAGTCTAGACTTATGAGCGGTTTCTAACAAGGGAAATGTGATGGTGAAATTTACTGGTGTTATGCATTCATGAGTTGATATCCAAGCAAAGATAGTTAAGTAATAAAGTATCCCTAAGGTTTAAATAACAGATAGGTTTAACGGTTTTTAAAATCTACGAAATTGTCTTTGTCTTTATGAAATAATTTTTAATGATTTCTACATCATATATCCTTTTATTTCCTTTGCTTTAGACAAGAAGCGAAATGGAAGTGTATGGGATAACTGGTATCATGAATGCATGCTTTAATGTTACTGAGATCACTGATGATAAACTCCCATTGCATATTGTCTATCGTTGGAGACGTATTCAAGATTTGAAAGCACCCTATGTAGTTGTTGTACGATCTGTTCAGTCATTATGCTCTGCATATCGTCAGTTATCACCGATTAGTAGGTTGACTTTATTTCATATATATGCTAAGTATTCTTTTTCGACATCAATTTTTTTTTTTAAGTTTTTGCTTCAGAAGTCAGTACAATGGATGGTATGGAGATGCAAATTTACAGTACCACTGATAACTTTAAAGCTTCAAATATTTGAATCTCTAGGCTATGGGTTAATCTGACATTATATGTCTGTCATATGTAGCATTGGTGAGATATCCGACTGCCTACTAAAGGACGAGTACACTACACTGCAGTACGTTCTGTCCTGTTATACGACACTGAGACATGAACGTCAAAAGTAGAAGACATGAAGCGGTTACAGGGTTTTGATCATTGGTGTCTTCGTAGCATTGCTCACGTTTGGTGGAGTCACCATATGAACAATGCTGAAGTTAGGTGAAGGGTACTAGGCAAAACAGATAAGTTGATTGACGAGGTTGTGAACCGCGATTGACTGAGATGGCTTAGACATGTAGTGCCCATGCCGAGCGAGCCACCGCCTACCTTGATGTGCCATGTTAACGGAAGTTGAAGTAGGTTGGAAGAGGGTTGAGGGTGATAAACCAAGATGTCACTCCAGTCGAAGAAGTCCTTGACTGCTTGTCTGAGTCTTGTGTGGTGGATGTAGACTGTCTGTCAGGAGTCCCTGAGACGAAGGGAATCAGTTGGTTGAGTAATCTTGGTGACGGGCTGAAAATCGGATGTATTCACTCTGTTGCTTCTCCTAAAGCTTGGATATTTACACTAAAATTTATCTTCCAATATTTTTTCCTCTCTTACAACCTCGTTTACTTTGGTATCAGTCTTTTTCCGTGCACTTGTTCTTTGTGTACGACTGTGAAGTGTGACAACTTGTGCCGATGCACCTGTTTGCGAGGTCCTACGTTCATTTTTTCCAACTGTCTGTTTGTCTATCATGTTTTGAAGTCATCGACACGAAATGTTTCATCAAAATTCTGTAGTTAACAGAAGTAGGTGCAGTATGGTGTGTATACAATCATTGGCTGTGACAGAGTATAATTGTACCCAAGTTTGTTTGAAGACTATTCTACTTTGGATTATTTTTCTTCTTCGTGGAGCTGTGACTCATTAGTTGAAGAAGTCGGTTTCCAACTGGTAGGCCACAATTTCAAACAGCGCTCCACCTACTGAGTTTTTGGCAGTCAACTACTATCATTAAACTTCATACTTTAAGTGTGGCTCATTGCTTACGGCTCTAACGTGTACTGCTTTACTGAGTGTATTTCTATTTCGATTCGATTTTGTTTTTTTCAACAGCGTCTATGATCCACAACTGTGTGTAGATACTCATATAACTTCAAATTTGGTTCTGATACTTCTCAAAGTTCCTAACTTGTTTGATTCTAGTGATAGTGAATGTATTAATATCTTTGAAACTGGCATGGAATCACTTATTTTGTGTGAATTAGACGCTTCTCCAATGAGCAAGGTGGTGATTGTCAACCATGTTTCTACACAATTACTTATTGTATCGGTGGATGCATAGAAATGGTTGAGTGTTAGAAGTAGAACTATGTGTAGAATGCTCCGCGCCTGAATGACTATTGACTGACCTTAATGACACCAATAAGATAAGAGAGATTTATTGATAATCGAAAAAATGAAGGCAAATTACAACAGATTCCGTTCTTTAACGTGGTTTATAAACTTGTGAAGGTTGTCGCCTGGTTTCTGTGATCTTAGATTTAAAAAGGTGTAGTAAAGAAACTCTTCTGTATAACTTCAAGTATTAATCCTTGTCTTCCATGGTGGTGACGTAAATAGCTATTAAAACATTTATATAGGTATAAAACTTTGGCAATGTGTTAAAATGTAATTCCATATTGAGTCTTCTTATTTGATATAGCCAACAGTGATATAGTATTGTTTACTTGATGACCACGTTTCTAGCATAAATTATTGCTCATAATCATATCAATATAATCGCAATACTTTCGACGTCTGATTTTCATAGTCCCATTGAAAGAAGCAAAAGACCGGAGGGACAGTGGTCGTTAAATATGGTACACCTTGCACTAAAACCGTCATTTGCAAAATATGCTTCATTTTCTCTTCTACTTCTTTCTTGACTTGCTCTTCATACGCGTGCCTTGTCTTTTGCGTTTCTTTTGGTGGAATCCTTACCCATTGCTGGTAATTCCCTATGATTTCTGCCACCCTCTCAACGTATACTACTTACATCCATTCTTATCAGCAACGCTCACTACACTATCATCTCATATTCTTTGCTTTTATTGATGGTAAAATATTTCTCATCTCTGGTGTAGGTACTGCTATACTCCTGTTACATGTTTTGGGTGTTGTTTCGTTAAAAGCAAAGATCCAGTAATATAAGAGACAGATTTGAGAACTGTGGTAGAATGCAACTCCATTTTTGGTTGATATATTAGATGCCATCACACAGTGGAAAAGTATTATTCACTGAATTACATTTCCTACACAATTTATTGTTTTTGTCATTTGAAGATAACTCCACGACTTTTAGACGTTTTATATTGTTTTAATTCTTCCGCCCTCTTTGTGATAAGGATGGTAGGATGCAGGATAGTGCTCAGAGGTACGTTTGGAAATTGTGCGCTTTGTGCGGCCAATATAACTTGCTCCATAGGAGCTCCTGTGGAGTATCATTAGAAAACGGAAAAATGCTAGATAAGTGTCTGTTCTAGTTTTAGGCACGAACACGCATAAAGGGGTTGATCCTAGAACTGTCAGGTTTTGTGATGACATACACTTCTCAACTTCTTTTGTAGATTTTTTAAGCGAACTATATCTCTTCTATATTTACTCTTTGAAAATTATATAAGATCTTTACCTTCCAGAATTGAAAGATGTGGATTATTAAATTCCAACCGAATGACTAAATAGTAAGGTGCTTGCTGCAAGAACTTAAGACCTTGACTTTCACCACATAATAAGAGGCTATTGGTGTACATTTATAAATAGTCTAAAATGGAGACAAAACGGCTGTCCACTGATATCTGGTTTCCAATGAAACTCTGATTGATACTAATCTATACTGAAAAATCCTAAATATTTGAGTACTTTAAGTGCTCACCAATTTATAATCAGTGAGTAACCCATTCAGTTGCCTGGTTCTTAGTTCTTAGTATTGACCAAATTCTGTTGATACATCTTGCTGATAAGTGCCAACAAACTTGAAACTAAGGTCTAGGACTTCCTACTAATTGACTTTTAACAGAATTTGTAAAGTTACTTCTTAGTGGCTTTTTGTCGCAGTAACATTTGCTAATGTAGACCTCCCTGGCAATAGTGTTACAATCAAAGTTTATATGTATATTTCCCGAGGGTTTGATTACTACGCATGCGTAAGATGCGCTTTAATCGCTTTAAACCTTATCATTATCAGCTCTTTATCATTACATATTTTGAACAAACATTTACGTACTGCAGTAAAATTTAAACTGCTTACAATTTTGTATATTGCATATATTGTATATTTCTCCTCTTTTACTTTTCCACTGTCTTCAGTTCCAGAATTCGATTTTCATTATCATCGTTTGGATCTATTGAAAGAACCTCAAAAGTGTCTTTTCCTAAATCAACTTATATCATTCAGTAAGTATAAAAGGAAAATTTTCTTTTTTTTTAATACTGGGTGATGGTTGAAGATGAAATGAAGATTTGGACTGCGGCCGAATGCTCTACCAACTGAGCTGTGAGGTCTGACAGCTGACCAGATTTTTATTACATTTCAATCACCAAGTATTTTACCCGGATACCATATGGATTCGTGACGCGTTACTACCGCTTGAGCGTACTTACACTGGCTTTTGTTTATGCTGTAAAAGGCTATTTCTCGCTTTTTGCTAACACCATTATTTAAATGTTTGAAATGAAGTAATTCCATCGTTTCGCACGGAAGTCTGGTTCGAGCTTCTTCAGGGAAATAATCAAAATTAAAATATCAAGAAAATATGGATAAATCCAAAGGCCTGTATTTAATCTCTTCTTGTCATTATCTTTCGAAATTTGATAACTAATCATTAGTGTGGAATTATATGTCTCTTGTTGTATGGTTACTGTGTGTTTGTTTTTTTACCATTCATATTCTCCTTGTTTGTAGAAATCAGACAAAAAAGGCTACAGGAAACATTGTAGTCACTCGGTAATTTTTGTGTGTACAATTGACTATATGAGGCGGATATGTATGTCATTTCATTTGGCATATGGTGGTGAATGGTATTAACGAATTTTTCATTGATTTGTCGAATAGAGTGGAAATGATTGATGAAGATACTAATAATGAATCAAATCAATCCAGTTTGTGTGTTGTTGTTGATGCAGAAATAATGAAGTTGAGACTGATTTTGAAGGTAAATACTAGAGTCACTATTTCTGCTTACTAATCAGTAATTGTCAAGAGGCAGCTAACTGCACTCCATCTCGTCTCTTCAGACTGTTATGATCCTTCCCCCCCCCATATATGTAGGACTTCAGCTGTCAATCTTTCTTGGTATGACCCAAAACGTTTTGTAAAACTTTAGTTCCGTCAAAGTCACTTTTATGGCTCATTTCTATGGAGTGTAGCGCAATTGCTAATTTGCTTTCTAGCTTCTTCTTTAAACATGGTTTATGCTTCTTCACTTCACACATGCTATGACTTACACAAATACAAACTATAATTTTATCATCATGTTGTATATCTGACAGCAAGGTAATCAAGCATTTTCACTAATGTTTTCAACTATTTCAGAAACTCATCTACATTTCTCATTTAGACCTTCAAGTTAGTTCATACTTTCTATGAAATTTTTGATCTCTGTTATATTCAACATTATCGATAGAAATGAGAGCAGTAAACAATTATTGGGGTCGGTAGTGGACACATATAAGTTGATGTTGATACAAACTACGCTAACTTCAGTTAGATGTTGTTATTACGAAAAAATTGGTTTTAATTAACCCATTGTTATCCTGACTAACAATGTAAACGGAAACAAGTTTATGCTTAAAAAGGGTTAAAGGCGGTAAGTGTCGATGAACTCTCTGGAAGTTAATTTAAGCCGCTATGTTATCGACTCCTGGTTTGGGGTTCATATGACGACCGAAATGGATGATTGGAGACTCTAGTTGGTATGGCTGAAAATTGCTTACAGTAGTGTAGATGCATCCCTCTCTTTATTGTTGTTCTTATAGTCGCATCACAGGTCGTCATTGCCTTATTCATTCCTGTTCTCTTTCTACGACTATTTATTAAGTCTTAGTTTTTATTTTTTCAATATATCATCATGCTGCCTTGTCTCCTAATGTGCTGATGCGAAGTGTGGCCACTAGAAATGTTACTCAGTCACACCAGGTCACATTTTAATCTGAGCGAAACATACTACCACTAAACAACTTGAGCAGTTCGAAACCATTCAGGCTGACCTATGGTATTCGCCAGCCAGATCAGACTACTCCAAACAATGGATAACCGTATCGCTCGGTTGGAGCCAAGCTTATCAGTGGTGTACCCAGACAAAAAATGTGATCTTGGTTGAGTGGTTTCCAGCGTAAAAGTTGTTGACACCGCAGTAAGGCGGTTGGAAAGAAACTATTCAGCTGTGAGAAATGTCAACATAGACCGTGCTATTTGTAGATCATTTGCAAATTGATCATCCTACATTTCGATACTGACTGAGTGGTCACCTTTTGTTACTTTTAAATATTTGTCAATTGTTGGACAGTAAAGTCAGAGATGAATTATTTATCTTATTGCATCACTCTTTGCCGACTGACACTCTTAAATGACTACAAATCGGAGACGTGGTATTTAAAAGTAGTAAAGCGCTGAGTCGTATTTATCTGCGGGTCGATAGTTGATGAAACTTTTTACTTTTATGATAACAATAGAAAATGAAATCAAGATGTTATTAATTGACACATACATTTCCCCGTTACTTATTATGCTGGACTAAATCGATCGGTCTCTATTGGCATATAGGGGCGTTGTTGAATGAAGTAACTGATGCCTATTGCACATGACGTGGTTTTTATCACTCGGTAGTCTATTGGATAACGCTTAGATGTTTAAAGCGATAAGTTGTTGGTTCGAGTCTCAATCGGCACAATATTATATCGAGGTGCAACAACATTCGTTTGAGTCCCAAAGGGAACGGAACATGCTTCCTGAATTCCACATTCAGCCACCACCAAGGAAAAAGTCAGTGACTATAAAGTGAAAGTTTCCTTTATAAATTTCGACAAGAGAATAATTTTATCTATAATTCAGACCACAAACTTTGTGCAATATTTGCGCCGAGGGGACTTATCATACATAATGAAAGGCAACACTAAGAAGACAAAATGGAAAGAAAATGGGAGCAAACATAGAAATGGGTTATTAAAGTATCAGTCTTAAACATACATTCAAAGGAGCACTCACTAATTTCGTTTTACTTTTCATTGATAGAAGGAACAAAAAAACTCCTATGTTTGCCAATGGTTTCAACTCTTAACCATGTCTGCTATCGTCTCAAGCCACTTAGTTGTATAGTCTCTCAAATCGTATTCACTGAGTTGTGAGGCACCTACAAACGCCATTCCAACACAATTATCCTTCGTCTTACCACATCACGTTCCACACTGGCCACCTCTTCATTTCTTCCAACCAGGCCCAGGGTGTCCGAACAGTTGACAACATTCGTAACATGTATTCGAGCCACGGAAGCCACTTTTTCAAGAGTTGTTGTTCAACGCTTCCACCCCCTGCTAGAAATCGCAAAGAAGTGAAGTGAATTCACTTCGCATGGATATTTAGTGCATGCTACTTCACCTGAGTTCTACGTGATTGATCGTTTGGTGAGTGTGTAGGGACTTGTTGAACCTGATTGGTTGACATTGTACTTATAGCTTTCTCAGAGTGGTATACAACTACTTCAATGGATGACTTGTTTCAATTCAGTGCGTTGAGGTCGTTCCCTTAAGATTGGTTGACCCTTTGTATGTGAATACTTTTACTGGTGAAGTGTACTTTGATTTGGTTGGTTGTAAATTTTTGTTTCACTGAAGTGATGAGAGTTGTTTTATATGTTCTGTATGATTTGCAAATCTTATAATATGCTAATATTTCCGGGGTTTATGTGTTCATCGATAAGCTTCAAGTTACATAGAATATAGATTTTGTTTTGCGTTTTAATCATCACCGAGATTCTTTGTTAAACTTGAAAAAGCGCTCACTAACTGTTAAATTTGAATTTGAATCCTCAGCAACACGGTTGGAGAATAATAAAACTGGGTTGTGCGAACCTATACATACATTCAACTTCACTACAAGCTTAATTCTTGTGCTTTTTCTGTCGTGTCTCTCTTAAAATTCAGAATTTTCGGATATTTATTCCGTTTTTCTATCAATGATATACCCCATCTGTTTGTATATCTTTTCTTTTCCCGAAGGTTTTGGAACTATTTACCTATCTCCACGCGCATTCGCTCGACCATTTACTCGTTTAACTCAAGGTTATTTAGAGGATATAAATGATGTCCGTCATCTTGTTGCATATTTATTCGATCATACTGTATTAATCTCAGATCCTGGATTAACTGCCAGCAGTCCATCGATTCAGTCATCTGTGGGAATTGTTGAAAGGATTGGAAAGTTTTGGATGCATCGAAGTCATGTCAGTCAACTGAGAGATTTTATAGTTAGACGGTGTGTCTTATCGAATTGGTTGCCTGCATATTAATACACTCCTCTTCTCCTGTATTGTTTATTTGTTTGAATGTTCTACGTACATTTGTTCTAAGAAAGTTATTTTTTCCTGTGGAATAATTTTAAAGGTCATCCTAACAATCCTAACCGATTACACTTCTTTGTATTTCTTTTATAAGTTCAGTCGCAACTTTAATATATTTATCCTGCGGTGATGATTAAAGGTTAAATTGCAATTTGGACGGCGGTCGGATTCGAAGAATTGACCACCAGGTTTCTGGCCCGATGGTCTACTAAGTGAGCTACGAGGTTGGCCGCCGGTGTTTGCTAGTTCAAATCTGGCCGTTGTTCAAATTTTCATTTCACCTTCAATCATCACCCAAGTATAAATACTAGTCTTCCAAACTATGGCTATCTCAGGTAGTCAAATGATACTTTAATATATATCTTTACCAGTGACTTAATGGAGTAAATGATGACGTGTATACAAATACCTTCAGATTCCACCCTTAAAGGTCGCTCAGTTCCTCTGTAATGGAAAAAGGTGGTACTATAACACAAGGTGCATTTACAACGACAACCTCTACTTCCATAATATGTACAAAATACAATGTTTATATCTATTACAATGGTCTAGGCTATTTCTAAGCCTACTTTTAAATTCTGTTGATTTTTCATCTCTTCAACCAACCTGATATTTACTCGCTGATTCACATGTTTTCCTCAGAAATTTCGAAGCAAAGTGACTAGTTGGAAAAGGCCTCAGACGTATGCGGCTTTCTATGAAAATTTTGTCAATCTTTCTGCATACTATAACTATTTTATGAGAAAGCTGCCTTCTCAGCTGAAATTTCAAAACCGGACAGGTTATTTCAGCAGTTTCTGGAGTGGTCTTTAAAGTCGATTTGTGTGTGCATGGAAGCGTCATTTTTCATAAAAATTAATCTAGTTACATGGTTGATTTGAAGAGGGTTAATATTTCATGTATTCGAATCCTGCTTTTCATGTATAGCCTGAAAAGGGAAAGTGGTGTCGTTACCCCCAAGTTATGATGGATAGTGGTCTTTAGCCTACTACACAAACGTGTATGCGTTGTACTGTTTCATCCTCCACGTGAAGTATAGTTTGGATAATTTTTAAAGTAGTTAAAGTTCGTGAATCGAGTTGCAAGGCCTACTTTGTCGATTAGAAATACTCAGTATTGTGATATATTTATTGCGTGAATGGGTTGCGTCATTATTTGATTGAAACTAATGTTCTCACAAACTATATTATACATTCCTTATAGGGATAAAGTTAAAACAATGTGCACTTACTTGTGCTGCACATAAAAATTAGTATAAGCCGATCATACAACTTTACACTGACTTATGTAATTAGAAACAAGGTTTATTTTGAGCCATATAACGATAATTCTTTCTACCATTGAATTTAACTAGACATCTTTCTACACTAGATTGTTATGTCATATAACGTTTTGAATGTACCTTTCTTTCTTATACCTTTCTTCTTATATATTGAGTGCAGGTTTATCAAATGAATCTGTTCCAATGTCTTGTTTACATCCATTCATTTTCTGTTTTACCAGGTATGTGGTAACAAACACTGGTGCAATGCTTATTTATCCTGGAACACTTTTATCGCATACCTATGATCCAACCAATCGGATTTGGTATAAACGTGCACTTGCCTTGCCTGGACGTTTAGTTGCAACCGGTCCTTATCTAGATGATGGTGGTTCTGGTTATATTATTACATTAAGTCGTACAATCTTTGAAGGAAAGTAAGTTTCTTTTATAGTTCATATGTTATACTGTCGCAAACTACAGTTTGTAACATCGGTTCAAGCTGCCACGATTTGTAACATTAAGGAATTGTGGGGAGCTAACAAAAGCAGATTTTTTATAGGTCAAACTGTTTTTACTTCGTCGTTTCTCACAGTTAAGTAGAGTTTTACCAACTAATCCATCTACAGTTTTATCAGGATTTTAGATGGAGAGCGCTTTGTTTAGATCCCCCATTATTACTTGTGATTGTGACATGGGTTTCCTGAAGTGCTTATGAGAAATGGCGACCTGCAAGGTCAACCGATTTGTGGGTGAGGATGGATATTGAATGGCAGTTGTCCTTTTTCTCTAATTGACAGGAGTAGTGGTTGCATGATAAAGTGCTTGCTGTGACACTTTACAATGCTGGACTCGATCCCTGGGGGCGAGGAGGGGCTCATGAGTGCTCTCTGTTAATATGTCCTAAACTAAGATGAAGCAGCTTTCCAGTGCTCCTTGTTTTTCAATAACTCTCCAACTGATATCAATCACTGATGAGAATCACTTAAAAAAGCGCCATAACTAAAAACACACATCATCATTATCAACGTAGGACCAGGCATTACTGCGTAACGGTCCGAGTTGCCACACCTCATATCAGCACATCAAGTAAAAAGGTAGTGAGGTGAAGGATGAAGATAAGTGAATGCAGTCAAAAGAAATATAAAGTACGAAAAGAAAAGAAAGAGGAGTGACAAAATGGTGAGATTCGGTATAGCGTTGTTAAGATGAGGATAATGTGTGTATACATCTGCGCCACTGGTTCCTCTTGTCCCGTGGACCCCAACCACCTAGTCTGCATCGTCCTACATGGCTTAAACCAACAGTCAGAGACTTCATACATTGGTGCCATGTTTTAGTCTGGCCACCTCGGGCCTTTTTCCAGCCTGAACCCACCTCAGCCAACATTGTGTGACGAGGCAATCGGTGACTAGGCATACGTAGTACGTGTCCCAACCATCTCAGTCGATGAAGGTTCACAACCTCGTCGACTGACTTACCTCTTCTCCCTAAAACTCTACACCTAACTTCTGCATTACTCACATGGTGACACCACGGAATACGTCCTATACTACGAAGGCAACGGTGGTCAAATACCTGAACCCTTTTCATGTCTTCCACTTTCAATGGCCATGTTTCACAGCCATACAGTAGAACAGAGCGGACTGCTGTGCAGTACACGCGACCCTTAATAGACAAACGAATATCACGGCGGCGCCATAGGTGGCGCAAATTGGCAAAAGCCAATCGAGCCTTTTGTATCCGTGCAGAAATCTCATCGGCAACTAACCCACCGGGTTGATCCTACTTCCCAGGTAAGTGAAGTGGTCAACACACTCAACCACTTCACTCTCTATTGTTAACCGCGGTACCGCTGAAGACCAGTCCTGGAGCAAAAATTTGCATTTGGGTGGTGAAAATCGCATCCCAAACATTCTCAAATTCCCACTCAAAGTGTTCAGAAGACTCTGCATCTTGTCAGCGTCTTCACCTAACAGGACTATGTCATCTGCATATTCTAGATCTAAGGAAAATTCACCTGTGATCCGGTCAACGTCTTTGTAATTAGGTGACGAGAGGGAAACCTCCATAAGAATATCTATGATAAAATTAAATAAGAATGGGGATAGTGGGCATCCTTGACGGACACCACTTGATGAGTATAGCTCCCTGGACAACTCACCATAGGCTCTAACATGCCCACAAGTGTTCGAGTAGAGAGCTTTCAATAAGGTGATGTACTTACTAGGCACGCCTTTCAGTGACAGACACTGCCATAAGACTTCTCGATCAACGGAGTCAAATGCCGCCTTCAGGTCGAGAAATACAGCTATTGTCGGGCGTCTGTAAGCATGCCTATGTTCCAGGACCTGGCGCAGTGTGAATATTTGGTCGATACATCCACGGCCAGGTCTAAAGCCTGCCTGGTTTTCTCGGGCTTGCTGTTCCCGAGCTCCACTCAGGCGTCGGAGAATTATAGAACTTAGGATCTTAGACACTATGTTTGTCAGGCTGATTCCTCTGTGGTTATCACAAGAGGACTTCTCGCCTTTCTTGAAGACTGGGATGATGAGTGACTTAGACCAGTCGGAGGGGATCGTATTTGATTCCCATATACTGGCTAACACTTCCGTTAGCCTGACTAAGAGAACTCTACCACCATTCTTGTATACCTCAGCAGGTAGTCCGTCTGGTCCTGCTGCCCTTCCCGTTTCAGGCTACCTACCGCTTTCTCAACTTCTTCTAGTGTTGGGGGACCTGTCTCTATGTCCCATTCAGGGTCCGACTGGATAGCGGGCAGCGCAATGGTGGCTGGAGGCCAGTTAAACTGTTCCTCAAAGTGTTCTGCCCATCGTCCCAGTCGCCTTCCCTGCGAGTGAATCGCCGATCCGTCCTTCTCCGCTATAACCTCACTAACTGTTGTTGACCATTTCCCCCCAGTCTCCTTAATAAGTCTAAATAACTGTCTACTGTTACCGATCGCCGCTGCCTTTTCCATCTCTTTAGCCTTTGCTGCCCACCACTGTTCACGATCGTTGCGCAGACTTTTCGTCAGTTTATTTTTAAGTTGCGCTCGCTCTTCATTGTACTCAGAGCCTGCAGGGATGCATTCACGTGCATCCATTAGTTTGGAAGAAGCTGCTGATATCCACTGGCTCTTTTTAGCCATTATCTTGGAGTCGGCTACAGTCTCCAGTGCTGCTTTTACAGTAGACTGAAGATGGCACCAAGCTTCTTCTGGATGAGTGACAGTCTTTTGTTCCGATAACTGCCTAGCCAACTTCTCACTGAACACGGCTTTGGTGTTTTCGTTGTCCAGCAGAACTCGTAGTGGTTTTGTTGCCAAATTTTTTCTACGTCCATTGAGACGCAGGCATATACGTGCTCGGACCAACGCATGATCGCTGTCCAAACACGTACTCCAGAAGGAGCGGCAGTCTTCCACCGATCCTCTCCAGCGATGACTAATAGCAATGTGGTCTATCTGTGTCCATCGCTGAGTCGAGCTCGGTGGACGCCAGGTCAGACAGTGCCTTTCTTTATGTCTGAAATTTGTGCTGGCTAAAAATAGGCGGTTATCTGAGCATAGTTGTAATAGGCGATCACCGTTATCTGTACGTTCAGCTGGGATTCCGAAAGTGCCACCTAAGTGCCTTTCTGCCTCACTCAGTCTACCCACCTGTGCGTTGAGGTCACCTGCAACAACCACTACGTCCGAACGTTTGGCTTTCGAGAGGAGGTTAGACAGTTTATGGTAGAACTCGTCCTTCACTTCATCCGAACTACAGTCAGTGGGTGCGTAAGCAGAGATTACAAAGAGACAACGGCGAGTCTCACTATTCCTTTTAGTTCTCACTGTGCCGTTCAGCCTCATAGCGCAGAGGCGACTATCAACTGGGATCCAGTCTAGTAGTGAGTTTTCTGCCCTGGTGCTTAATGCTATACCTACACCTGCAAGACCACGAGAGCTAGCTATCGAATCTCCAGAAACTCGAAGGGTGAATTTTGCAGATTCACCAGATTGGTCAGGAGAGGTCAGGTGAATAACCACACTTGGGTCCTGTATGCGTGTCTCACAAACACAGCACACATCCATGCCCGAGTTGCTAGAGTCTTTGCCAACGAAGCCTGTTGGCCAATTTGACGGAGGGTGCGGACATTGAAGGCTCCAATATGTAATTTGGAGCGTGGTTTAAGGAGACCAGGGATGCTGTTCTGTGGACTCAGATCGTTGTCGAAGGCTGCAGAGGTAGGAGAAATTGAAGATGATGCAGCATCATTAATTAAGAGACGTGAAGGAAGATTAGAAGGTAATGATGGAGGAGGAGGATAGCAGTCAGAAGAAACTTGGGTGCTGACAGAGTTGTGAGGGCGGTTGACACTTCCCGGCTGCCCACACCGTGGAAGGCTATTTCTTCTTAAGGTACCTGAAAGAGATTTGTGTGACCGCAGAGCCCATCGGACATCTGCTTGAGGCCTGTCACACCCAGCCTTTTGAGTATGATTATTTTGAATTTTTGTATTTTTGGGGCCGGATGGGCGAAAGGAAACGACAAGTGAACCAACACCGCCGGCCCGGCAGACCGTGGGGCGTGGTGGAGTGTGTTATTTTTGGGGCCGACCTTTTCTAACCCCCCCTTCCACTGAGAAGGCAGCATCAGCTTGGCACTGCTGGTCATCCAAGGGAAACACCTTACTGCTGTCACACCCCATCCAGCTAGCAGCAGTACGACTTCGCCCTCAGACCCCCATCATAGTGTAGCAATTTACACTATAACGGTAACTGCTTTTCGTCTAACCACTACCCAACAGACCTTTCTGGTATGGTAGGACCTCGAGGGAACAAGCGTTCCACCAGCATAGCTCGTTGGGTCATTGTGATATGCAAGCCCGACCACCACGTCAAGGTAGCAGCTATCGGTCGGGACTAAAAACACACACACACTGCTGAATATAGTTGGTGGTTAGAAACTAATCATAGTAATATGTGGATTTCGCTAGCCAGTTTAAGTGTTCTAAACTCCTCACAGTCATTTCATTCTCTTCGCGCTGAGCTAACTAGCGGTGCTTGTATTTGGAAAGAAAAGCTTTCGACACCAACGGTATCAGTAACCTGGACTTCATCTGGTTAGTGAAACCTGTATATTAGAGAATTGGTTATTTCTAACTATGTATACTAAATATTCAATGGAATATATTACTAAAAGTGAGGATTATGGTGTTAAGTGCCTTCATGTAATAGTCGATCAGTCTCCTAGTCATTTATCTGATTGCCCGAATGTGGGTTGGTGGGGCCGGTTTCGAACCGGTCATCCCGCTGGTTAAAAGTCAGCTGCCATGACCAGTCAACCGAGGCTCTACATCGGCAAGTTGCACTGGAGTGTAGGCTTCACTTATCATTTTAAAGTAGTAGGGACTTGACCTGGCTGGTTAAACCTGTATTTTTCTACAAATACTAATATATATATATATATATATATATATATATATATATATATATATATATATATATATATATATATGAATTTGCTAGTGAGAAGTGTATCCGATGTCTTAAATCCCTTTCATTTGAGTAACTGCATACTACTATCTGTTTTCAGTTATACCGGTGTACGTAGGCGTGAGAAGGATAAAGTCGCTGCTGTTATTGGGATGGATGTGACGTATCGTTTCTTAGCTTTATGTTGTCCCATTGGCTACCTGAATGTGAAGCTCTTCTAAAACAAGAAATATCTTTTCTTCATCATCTTCGTTGTCGACTTCGTCATCATCAGCTTCAAACGATAATCTTAATACGCTGGATAAATCTGTTCAACACACTGATTTTCGTTCAGATTATGATGATGGTTTTGGCAATAACAGTAATAATAATAGCGATTCCAACGAACACTTAAGAAATCCAATTCAATCTAGATGTTTGTTAATGGATGATCGAGGTTATCTAATGGCTCATCCTGGTTTCTATGATCCTAAGTATGGTGGACCGTTAGAACAGAATCACTTAAGTTATCAGTGAGTTTTGTATTTCCTTTTATCGCTTTCCTCAGCACTTGTCTTTAAAGCAAAAACTGACGAGTATAGTGCGAATACAAGTTGGTGTTTTTTTTGGAATGATTGTAACGCCCCCCCTCGAATAACTCCTGAGATAACCAGTTACGTTTCTATTTTTACCGAACAACTAGCTTCCCAGATGAAATACCGAAACCCAATCGGCTATTTCAGCATTTACTAGGGCAGTCTTTAAAGTTGGATGACTTCAACGACCACCCTAGCAACTACTAAAATAACCAATTATGTTCCGGTATTTTGTCTGGGAAGCTAGTTTTTCGTATACTATAGAGAAACGTAATTGGTTAGCTTACCAGTTGCTAGGGTAGCCATTAAGTCATTAATCTGTTTTTGCTGAACTATTAGTGTGTTGTTCTAGCCTTTGAAGATGGGGAGAGAGCGTGAATCTACGGTCACCCTAGCAACTGGTGGAGTAACCAATCGTCTTCTGGTATTTCTGGTGGCAATTTGTTATTCCGTACAATATAGAACTGTGGTTGGTTATCTCAGCAGTTGTTAGGGTAGCTTTGAGAGTCATACATGTTTTGAGTGTCTATATTTTCTCTATCAGTTAACATTGATTCATCAAACATGGTCAAAAGCGGAAAATGTTGATGCGCAAAATATCATTACAGTCATGAATTAATCAGACTTTCTATGAAAAGTGAGGATTAAATAAAGGAAAAAAAGCAGAAGGTAAAAAATGCATGAATTGGTTAGCAGGGAGGGTTGTAATTAGTGCATTTGCCTAGCTCATGGCTGATCAAAGTTTGTAGGTGTCTCTGGCTGAAACGGGTGCCAAATAAGTACGTCACTCTGTACTCGAACACACACGGGCGTACCACAGCCTAAGTTATCAGGCAAATTATGTACCTTGAGTAATGTCCGTCAAGGATTTCAAGTCTCTCCACTCTTATTGATCTTTATTACATATGTGTTTCCTCTCGTTATCTAATTTCACAGGGATTGATGTTATCACAGGAAAATCCTTGGTAGATACACAGTACGCTGATGACGCAATCATGTTAGGGGGAGACTGTGATAACATTCCAAATCTCTTGGATACCTTGAGTGGAAACTTGAGAATGTTTTAGACACGTTTCGCGCTACGTAGATGCAAATTAGTGTCATAACAATGGTCTTTAGTAGTTCCTTATTTAACAACTGGGAGTGAAATGGTTGTTTTTTTGACCACTTCAATTACCTGAGAAATCGAATCAGCCCTTATGTGTCTTTTTCTCTTGTACACATACCTTAGGCTATTTAAATCGAATGGCTACAGCTTCTGTTGTTTAAAGTATTCGTTATCTGGTAGCTTTCAGTAGATTTAGGGGGACAAGCTAAATGACAGAAAATGAGTGACTCATGTTGACTTTATGGTCTGTTTGAACTAGATGAGCTAACATCAAGCTGTTTACATTTTTTATTACTTCTTTGTTTAACCATGCTGGAAGTTGTTCGCTAGCTCGAATGATTAGATTTCTAGAACACTAGCCAACATAACTGGTCCTATAGGAACAGTTGACTCGCTAAATAGAACAAGAGGTAGTCAGCCTAGGCATTTGGTCTTTTAACCTCAGTGACACAAATGGGCGTCATATACTTTCTTATGAACTTGCCTGAATAATCATATTCAGTTAGGTTGTTATCTAAGATCCACAATTCTTCATCGATATTGTCCTTCAAACATATAGCTCTTACCTTGTAACTCAAATAGCTTAGCTAGATTTCGTTTACATTTAAGGGAGATGAAACTAGGGAAGTGTGTATATCATCACATCCGTGTACTTTTCTTTATGAATCAATCTTCAGCGACATGTTTGTTCTTTTTAAAAGAAAAATGTCCAGAAAGGCTATTTTATCCTGTGATTTCTCTTCACCTGTGAATTTTATGTCTTCGTGTGCTTCATTAAATTTGAATCGTATTAACAACTGACTGTCAGATGAAGTCTCATTCTCTGCTTGAACAGTATGGGAGTTGTTGAAATAATATTCTTTGTTCATCAAACTGTCTTTTAAATTGTAATGAGAATTTACTAAATATTATTTACTTTTGAGGTTTATGGGATCTTGAGCTTGATCCTTGGCGAAGTCATGGGTGCGTACTACTGAGGAGTTCCATACTAGAATGAAACAGCTGTCTAATGTTTTGTCTTTAAGTCATTCTCCTATTGATATCAGTCCATCATGAATAACTGTTTATTTATCTTTTTGTTTTTTCACAGTGAACCGATTGTTTCCTCCGATTTATTGAACAATGAACACTTCCTACAAAAGACAATTTGTTTAAATTACAATAAACGAACATTACAGCGTCAGTATAAATTTAATTTATCAATTACAGATTCAGTTAAAAATAGTTTATCAGGTGAACAATGTGTGGAATATCAGGTAAATTATTGTGAATCGCTTTTTTGATATTGTAGTCCATTTGGTAGCTAGCAGTGGGATCCAGGACGTACGTTTCATCCTATTTGGGACTCGTCAGCTGAGTGTACTTGCACCCCAGTGAATGATGTTCTCACTGGGACTCGAACTCAGTGCCCATCGCTTCAAACGCCGAAGCTTTTTTAATTAAATAGTGTATGGTGGTGGGGGCATAATGAATAATTTTTCAAAGCGGATGGCATGAAATGACTTCTCATAGCTTTCTCATAAGCAGGCAGTCACCGTCAGAATGATAACGACAGTAATACTATGACCTGCATATAATGTATTTCTCCTGATCTTGATTGTTATCGAATCGGGGCTGTGAGACAAGATAATCACTTTATAATAAACATTAAAGTCTGACTGGGACAATTTCTAGTGTCATAATGATTAGACTCTCAGCTCAAGTCTGCAGATAGCAAACTGAAGAAAAATCAAACGGATTTCAAGCCTGTTTGTATATGTCCACCAGATTTTCTTCCTATGCCAAGTCCTGGAATACAGGCGTACTTATCAGCATTTACCAGTGGTCATATTTCTAAACCTAGAGTTACCATTTAACTTGATTCGTCTCAAGTTATTTGGTTATGTGGACTGAAAAACTAACCAAAACAACTTTATGGTCTATAGATTATGGGCATGATTGACTGTGGCTATTCGTAATCTCCACCAACGCACCCACCGGCTGCAGTTCGGATAACGGAAAAGATTAACTCTGTGAGAAGCTGTCAACTTTGCTGCAGAAAGTGAAACGTTCAAATGTAGTCATAATGGCAAGTGAATTTAATGCTCAAATAAGGAAGCTGAGCCAGTCGGAAGGGCATTTTGGAGGTAATTACGGAATCCTATGCCAACGAACTGACAATGATGATCGTGTGCTGCAATTTTACTCCGACAATCACTTTTTTCTGGCCAGTACTAACTTCAGACATAGGGAGAGACACTGTCTCACATGGTGTCTGCTGACTTCAAAACAGCGATGGCCACATATTAATCAAATTGCTATAAACCATAGTTGGAAGTTTATCACTGTTTCTGAAGTACTTGTTTAGACTATGATCATGCTTCAGTACGGTCTCGTGTATGTCTGCGCCTTACTGGTCGCGGAAACAGGCGATTGTAAAGCCTGTTCATACTCTGTTGGAAGATGATGATGCGAAGTATGTAATTAGGGAGGAGGCGGCAAAGCATTTGTCTGAGTATGACAGCAATCCTCATCTTGAGGAAACCTGGCGTGATATTAAGCTTGCTGTAGAAACAGCATTAAAGATAGTTGCTAACATACACCCGAAGATTAGCAAACGTCGTTGGATTTCCGCGATGTCATCCGAACTGGATGATGCAAGAAGACTGATTCCAGCTGACTTTAACCACGATGAAGAGCACCAGTTGATAAAGTCTCTTACTTTTGGTCTGTGTCAGGTCAGAAGATGCAGACTGCTTGGTTGGGGTCCTCGAGACGAAAGGAACCAATGGTTGAGGACTCTTCATGACGTGGCTGGAAATCGGTCACGATGGCGCAGATGTATTCACTCTGAGACATCTTCTAGAGATTAAATATTTGTACAAACCGTTGTCTTCAGATTGTTTATTCTCTCACACAACTCTGTGTGTCTTTGATTTCACTCTTTTTCTATCCACCTGATATTTGAATACTACTGTGAAGTGTGGCAACTTGAAATGATGCACTTTTGTGCGAGTTTCTACGTTGGTTTTGTCTGTCTTTCTTTTCTCCTTTCACGTATATACCCACGGCATCTCTTGGTTTTTGGAAATACATTTTTGGCTGTCATATTAATCTTTTTTATGTAATCCGTTTTGTTAGTTAACACTTTATAACTCCCGCTATCTGATCGCATTATTACGAGATCCTGATTGGATTTCATCAGTTTGAGCTCCTCGCTATACCTTTCGGTGAACAGTGACTTCTTTTTAACCTTGACTTCTAGTATCTTTACTAGTAGCCTACAAGAGTTGCTCTCAAATTCTCTATCTCTGATTATGCTATTAGGACTAGGTCCACTGTTTGTGACATAACATTATTAAACTGAAGCTCTGTGTCTAGTTACCGGAATACTTTTCCGGGTGAGTGGGAAATGTATATTCCTGCAGTTGTTGTGAAAGGCATTTCTTCAGAAGAGTTTTTTTAAAATTATTTTCACTTGTTTTCTCACTACTTTCATACATTTCGTTAATAAAGATTGTTTGTTGATATTCCACAGCATTTCAATTCAGTCTTTTCAGTATCTGTACATTCGACTAAACGTGCTGTCTTTTTAGTAACTCTTAGTAACTTTTGGGATATTGATTCATTTCGATTTAATTCCGAGTAAACTCTAACGAAGCATTCATTGTCGACAGTCTAGCATTATACTGCCAGAACTGGTTTAGTTAGTTCAACACTATCGGAAACTCACAAGACTTTAGAACACTGAATATTTCCATGATAACATTGAATAGGCGAGAACTTAAGCGAATGCGTGTATGTACAGACAACTGTAAATATTATAGTTCATATGACCACTCGATGTGTTTATGTTTCCAAGTGTGGATTTCGCACCAATAAAAAATATCTTGTTGAACACAAACTCTTTTATTTGAGATTTTTAACATGGATTTTTATTCTTCATCAATGAAATCGAAGTCTATGTATCATTTGATAATGGTGAATAACTTTTACAGTATGAATTTGCAGCTTTTTGGTTCAGGGAGTTGACTTTCAACTTGTGAGTCGCGGATTCGAACACCACTCCACCTACGGGTGTTTAGGCAGCCAGCCAGCTAGGTGGTATCATTAGGCCTCACACAATGGATGTAGGTCATTCGCCCACTGCATAAATGTACACAAGGTTAGTGAGTGGGTTTTGATTTTTTCATGCAGTATGCGGACTGGAATCAGTTTGTTTGCAGCTCATCATGATACAAAGAGAGAGGCGTGTTTAACCCGAAGGTCAGTCATCACTTGCACCCCCACCAAATTAGGTCAGTGTAACACATGGCATGCATGCTGATTGAAAGGAATTTAAAAAGGTAAGTCAGCCCATGGGATGGCAGTACATCGGTTTTGAGATGTGATCCAAATCCTTAGAATGACGACAATGAATGGTTTAATATCTCGTATCAGATGGTTCAAAATAAATCACAGAGGCTGGAAGGTACTCACCATTTATCGTTGAAACTGTAAACATCTCCATCTATTCATCTCTCCTCATGTATTATTTTTTTAGTCTACTGTCATTTTATTTCCATATACTTTGCTCTCCATGCTGTTTTAAATTACAGAGATATGACTTATCAGTCTAGGCACACTTGACTTATAACCAGTGGGCCATGGGTATGAACCCCTCAACACCTACCGAAGTTTGAGCAATCAGGTAGCATCATTAACTCACCTGAAGGGTGTGACTCGCTTCATGCATATGTTCACTGAATGCATTTCTTTTCTTTTTGTTTCGAATCATAGGATCTTGGACGGCAGCACTTTTCCAAGTTCTTTATTGCTTTCAGGTTGGTACTCATTGTGAATTGGCATTTGTTAGAGAAATATTGGGAACCTGGTGGCAATGGTAAGCTGTTTCGTCCTGGTATGGGACTTCTCAGCAGTGCGCACCCATGAACCCTCCAGGGGTCAAACCCAGGACCTTCAGGTTCCATGGCCTGCACGTTACCACTGGGTCGGAAGCCACTGGTCCATAATTCCTACTTCTGTCAGTTCACGATATAGCGCGATGTCCGTCCAGTGTGGTCGTTTAGTAACTGTCTTCATGTTCGACTTAGTTGGCTTTACTAGTCATTACTTCTCATTAGAACTTCAGGAATCACCCCTCGAAGTTGGTTATCAATGGGCACTAGATTAATTCAATTTTCACGTTTTGAGGATTTTTTTTATCTATTTCAGGTTAGTATTCATCATGAACAGAGATCAGTTGGGGAAACATTGGAAACCTGAAAGCGCTGAACACTTGTCTCGTCCTAGGAGTAGGAAATATGGACCAGTGTCTCAATGGTAACTTGCTGGCCGCGGAACTTGAAAGTCTTAAGTTTGATCCCTGTCAAGGTTATGGGTGGGGGCTGATGAGAAGCCCCATACTAGGATGGAACAGCTATCCAGTGCTCTCAGGTTCCCATAGTTTCTCCAACTGATTTCAGTCCAAAATGATTACCAACCTGAAATCAATAAATAAATCCCCATAAACCTTCAAATTTTTTACATTGGTTTATGTTGTAATCTTTCTTTAGTCGGTTCCTAAATAAAACAAAATTTTACTTACCAGTCTCTCATTCGCTGTTGAACATTGAATCTTTCTTTTGTTGTATTTATCTAAATTATTTCTTATTAATTACAGTTGTGGACAATTCCAGAGACTAATTTAATCTTTGGTTTCATCAAAGAACATCATCGATTTGGTTGTAGTCCTCGTACAGGATTTTGTCCATGTTCTACTAAAAATCGTTTATGCTTAAATTGTGGTCGAGTTGAACCACGCGAATGTGAATGTCCTTGTGAATGTCCTATTGAGTTGGATCATACTTATTGGTTGAATAATTATTCAAAAGGATTGCCAGAAAGTATCTTTTATCAATCGGATGGTAAATTCTTAAAGAATTCAAATCTTAATCATACTGTCTACTCAGTTAGTAAACAGTCTGAATTGGTTGAGGAAATAAGAACAGGAAATAACATTTCGTTAGTTGATGGTCAATTTGGAAAATCAGCGTTTAGAATGATTTACGCTTATCCACCGTGTTTACAGAACTTGGTAAGTATTAGTTTTGTATATTTGTGTGTAGACAGTATAATTCTCAAAATGTGTATTTCACTAGATGCTTTCGTTAGGAATAGACTACGCTCTACAAAAGCTTATATATATATATATATATATATATATATATATATATATATATATATATATAGAGGTTTCCTATCAATATTTTTTGGGAAGTAATGGTCAGTGGGTGAAATCTGTCATGTTCCTGTTTCATATCTATTAAAATTAAGGCTTCTAACCTTAATTCAACTTCCGTGACGCCATCCTATCAGGTTCGAAACTAATGAAATTACACTTCACTGCATTGTCAGGTCGCCTAACAGTTGTGCGAAAAAATATGTTGGCTATCCAAGGGAAACACTTTACTGCTGTCACACAGTGCGAATTGCCCTCGGACCCCCATCATTGAATGGTAATTTACACTACAATGATAAGTGCCTTTCTTCTTATCACTACACAACAACTATCCTTTGTGGTATGGTGGGACCTCGAGGGAAAAAATAACTTATTGGATAATTGTGATATCCAAACCCGACCATCGCGTTCAGGTAGCAGCTATCGGTCTGAGACTTTGCAGCTACATCGGTTACCATCTGATAACCGATCCATGTACGTCGGTGATATATTGTGACATACTGACTCCTTGAAGCTGAATGCTTGAATGCAAATGTTTTTGTCTATCAACAAGAAATATATTTGCAAAGTCAAAAAGTCTTATACTATGTCTTTCCTTCAATTTGAAGGTTTTAAGGGAATTGTATGACTTTGAAGACGTGTTCATCATGAATCGATATCAGCCGTAAAGTCATCGAAAACCTCAGGTCACTAGACAGCTGTTTCATCCTAGTATAGAATTCGTCAGCAGTACATTCCCACAACCTTGTATAGGATTTGAATCCAGGATCTTTAGAAATCCTAGTTTACAGGTTGCCATTCAGACACTAAAGAGTTGCAGAGTGGGTAGAAACAGCTGTCCAATGCTCTCGAGATTTTCAGTGGTTCTTTGTGGTGAAAACCTCTTTGAAACCTATCTTATCTCTAAGGTTCAAATTCCATATGAAATACTTTGTGGAAGGCCCTGATAAATGCATATATTGTTTTCATTCTTATCATCATCATATTACATTACGTTACTTGTTTCGCCCACTCTTCCTCTCTTCTTACAATTTTCTGCTATTTCTGATTGCATTTTCATCCTATTTTTAAATATATTTCTTCTTGCTACCTAATATCTTGATGTGCTAATGTGAGGTCTGGCGATTTTGATAATTTCGCAGTATTGTCAAGTCCCATGTTATTATTAACTGCCTGACTATGAATCAACTAAAAACAGACCAACAAAAAATAGCTGTCTAAATATGCCTTTTAACAGCTCTGGTCAGTGTCTGTTGGAAAATGTTACAAAGTCCATCTTTGTTGAGTTAGAGCCTCACTGGAAGTGACTATTTTTTGAACTTTTTGTGACTTTAATTGTTCTGCTGATTTCACTCATGTTTTCTGGCGCAAAACATCAGAGTATGCTGGGAATGCGTACAGACACCATTTGCGTCAGTGAACAATATGTTCCTAAATAAACTTGTAGATAACTACATCACCTCACATCAACACAACAACAAGATACAAGACAGGAAAGTAAAGAGAATACGATCAAAAATCGTTGGAAGTTATAAAAATAGAGGAGAGGTGAGAGGGGGTGGGGTGAGTAAAGCAAAAAACACGATTTAATATGACGATTCACATGAAGATAATATGTAGATACATGTGTGGCATCATTTAGAGTCTCCAGCCATCAATTTCAAGTGTCACATAGGCTCCAACTGGGCAGTTTACATTTGTGTACATGGCTCAAACTAGAAGTCAGAGACGTTTTAAGCTAATGTCTTGTTGTAATCTGGTCTTGTTTAGCATTTTTCCAGTCTAAATCTACTTTCTTTCATTCACTTCCCAGCGAGATTGAATAGATTGGTCAAAGTAGTCGACTAAGATCAGTTAGAATAACAGCAGAAAAACTTCACTAAATCAAGATTAGTAGGTTCTACTAATATAAGAATTCTAGAGAAACGCTCGACTATAGCTGTGCACGCGGTTGCACATAATCACACAATAGGGTGACAAAGAGCAATGGTACTAAGAACTTAGTTGAATGGATAGAGAGATTGATAATCGAATCGTCTTATCGAATAAAAATCAAATAAATTTATTTTGGCTAATTTTGGGTGTTGAAATAGATGGTAACTGAGCCTTTGTAGCGCATTTCCCAGCCATCTGTATAGGATGAGGCCTAAAATTTCATCAACAGGCTCACCTCCTTTGCTTCAGACTGTAAACCTTATCTCCATTTTTGTTAATATGGTGTATTGTTTGTGGAAAGAATGTCTGCAATGGTACTCTCAACCAGTTATTTCTGTTCCAAACGGTTGGCAATCATAGGCAATTATAATGCCAATTGAAGACATCAACATATGGTCAAACTATAGATGGATTGATAGAAACTGAAAATGTGAACTGTTGAATTCTAGCTTCAGTTAATGACTGCTAATCCGCATGCAGTGAAACCTGAAGGTCTTCGACTCTATGATTTATGAGCTCATGATTTCACACTAACGAGTCTGACACTAGACGAAAACAGTAGTATAGTAATCTATAACTTTTGGAAATTCTCAAGTTGACGTAAATTTGGTGTGAACTGACTTTGAATTCATTTGATCGCCTATGAACGTTTGTTTAATTTGGTGTAATTCCATTTGTATTTTACTGTAGGAAATGGAACCTGTCAGTGCTGTATCATTTCATTTCGATCCATACATCTTCAGTACTTCGCCATCTGCATCTTCATTCTATAAAATTAATGAATTCCCACCATGTCCAATGAATAATGATCATTTTAGTTCAAATGAGCATATCATTATTGATCGCAATCGTTTACAACAACAACAACAGCAAGTTGAGTCTGTCGGTGAAATCAACGTTGAATACCTTGATAATGCTGATAGTAACCATCAACTGAACTACGCTATCGATGATAATAAAAATAGTAATAATCGTCATTCTCATGAACAACCATCATCGCGTTGTTCTCATCGTACACGTTTAACATGTTCATCAACTGTTGGCTGTGAATGGTGTATGATGACATTAGGTGATGAAAAACCATTAGATCATCCATTTTGTGCTTCAATCTCAGTTTGTTTTAATGGAGTTGTTGGAGTTCCTGTGCCAAATTCGAATTATGGTTTACATGGGAACGGTTAGTTGATTGATTAGTTAGTCAGTGCATTTGATATATTGTTCTTAATTATACACTATATGCCTGATTAATTGAAAAAATTTCATATACTTTACTTCATTCATTGAGATCGGGCATGAGTTCGAGCCCTACGAAAGGTATCAATTTGTGGGTGTCTGTTTGGTATACTATGACTTCTAAGATTTATAAACAAGATGTATGAAAGCTTACGAGGTGGTTAGCCTTTGCTCTAAACATATGAGACCAAAACAGATGGTTAGGATGGACAGACCAACTTAAAACCTTGAATGATAGTGGTAGTGACTTCTTGAATCGATGCCATATCTTGATCTGCTGACGGCCAATTTTCTTTGAATTTACTTTGGTTAACATTGTACATAGAGGTAGGCGATCACTTGTCATGTTGAACATAGTTATAAACCCTCATTGACTAAATTGCAGTTCTTATGTAACACTACACGCCTAACTTCAGTATTGATATACCAATACAGCATAAGCAATACTAATGGAATTGCATTGTATAAAGAATGCGTAGCCTCCCGATGTTATCCACTCTCAGCTTTCTTATATTCACTTATTGAGAGGTAACGGCGATCATTACTTTCGTCAAGAACAGTATTCGTTGTTCTGTGTAGGTAATTGTGATACCAATCCAAGTAGTTAGACACTGAATGTAGGATTAGTCAATCAGTATTAACTGATAATAGGTTAAATTCAACAACGAAATATGATATGACGGTTAGGTTAAAGATAAGGGGTAAATGTATCTGGACCACTAAGGTTCCTTCTCAGCCATATCACCTGGAATCACTGAATATAAACCAAAATGGAAACAGCGGAAACCCTTGACGGACATTAGTCAAAATAGACAGCTCACCTGAAAATGCACTGTAGGCTCTAACACAACCACTTGGGTTAGAGTAAAACGCCTTCTTCAATACTCTTTTCAATGAGAAGTTATTATGTTAGAAGTTACCAATCTTGTTTTAGTTATGAGTTATATTATAGAAAATGCTACCGGTCTCTATCTTTCTTTCTTAAAGAATGGCCATCGTCTTATAATGACCGCGATGAACTTACCAGTTATACCTACGCCATACGAAGTCGTCAAGAATCTCTAGAGCTTAGAAAGTTATCTCAACTCTATAATAGAATCCCATCACTGCCCTCAAGATCTGATATACCAGACAGTTCTTCTGTTGGCGATGGATCATTCTTATCGTTTTCTGCTCCGATTCTGCATACTTACTCATCGTCGTCGTCATCAGCAGGAGCATCAGCTTCATCCCATTTCTCTTCGAATGGCCCATACAGAAAAGTGTCACATGATTTACTCGCTTTATTTTCAAGACATTCAGAGAAAATGTCTGGACGAAGAATTATTCCCTCTGATTTTCATCGAGATTGGTATAATTCATTAAAGTTGATATCTTCATCATCCAGTAGTAACAATGATGATGATCATGGCGAGATTATTCATCAGCAACGTAGATATGAACATCATTCTTTCATTATCACAAATCCTGTTGGTTCAGTTATTGGTGCTGTGCTAGTCTCATTTGTTATATTTCTACTAATTGTTTATACTGTTAAATATCGTCGACGTTTACGTGAACGTTTCATGCACAGCTGTCTGTTCAGCTTGAATTCAAATCATCTTAGTGTATTACCACCATCAACAGTGGAGAGTGAGACAGAAGCTGCTCGCCTAAATACTTCCGTTCATTCTCATGTAAGTAACAGCTTTTTCGAACCGACCCACTCATGTGCAAGGTTCTACGTTAATTCTGTCTATGTTTGTCTCGTTTATGCTTTTTTTAACTGAACTATTGATAGGAATTCGTGCACATGGATTTCGTATTTGTCAACACATCAATAAGGCGTACGTTAGTCTTACGGACTATAAAGCCACCGTCTAACTCACTCTCCTCAGATCATAACTCACTTGAAAAAAATTATTTCAGTTTCAATTTTTTCTAGGTATGGCCACCCTAAAGGATTGTACATCATAGTAAACAGACACTGACTTCATAGAACCATGTATTACCTATGTATTGTCCTTGTAGTTACTGGTTTTTTTAATGCGTAGTCTTGAAAGTTGATATGCGAAAGATATACAACTGAAGAATATATTATTGGCAGTTTCAAAACACAGTAAGATGGAACAAAGAAGCAGTGAAGAGATGATAAGGATAAGGTGTGGATGATTCAACGCTACAACGATCGATCAACATCTTTACCTTTTAGGGTATCCAACCATTAATTTTAGCTGTCAAGCCTTACGCTGTCTTAGAAGCTTACACTTTGGTGTACAGCTGAAACCAGCGACTTCATTGGTTGATGCTACTACTTGATCTGGCTACTCATATCTTTCTTCTTATGTAATATGTTACTTCATCCGGCATTTGGTACATCGGTAAATGATATTTCATCGTTTATAACATGTGTTGACTACTTCACTTTCGGTGTACACATGCAGTCTCATGGACTGATTCATCTTTCTCCCGCTGGCATCGTGGCTTTAAGAAGTGTGAATGATATGTCCTTAACTCCTTATGTTACCAACCTTCGAAAATTATCGCACATCTGATAATGATTTTGAGTCATACCAGGGATAATGATGAAGTGTAGATTGCTGGCTATCCTTATAATTTGTCCACACTGAAAGATCTGAACTAGTGATTATTGTATAGATGGGAATAAAATGTTCGTCAAATAAGTGGTTCCTCATAGAATGCGACCTTAGCACTACTTATCGAAGAAAGTTGTTGAAGTTGAACTGATCCTTATTTGAGCATGAAGAGAATCGAAGCGAAATGAGATAGGCTGTACTAAGTATTAAAAGTAGGTACTCACCGTACACTCATCATTTGTTACCACCCCTCTGTGTATTCCACTTCACTGCGTCTAAATTACTACTCAATGACTCTTCATCTCATTGAGAACAGTTGCAGAGATAGTCTGTCTCTCAACTTCTTATTAGAACTTCTGGAAATCTTCCTCGAAAGAAGTCACTTTTTACCAATGACGGTAGTTCAAATGACGGTTAGTACGGGGTTTATTGGTTTCAAAGTACTTTTCATCATGCAGTGTCATCAGGTGGAGAAACGCTCATAATCTTGAGCGACTTTAGGACTTCTCAGCAGTACTCATTTGTGAGCTCGTGAAGTCTCAAGCCCAGAACCCCCAGGTCCCCTGACAGGTACGTTACTATTCAGCTAATAAGCTGAAATCTGCAGGTTTCTTTTTCTTACTTTTGCCAGCCAAAGTGGGTGTTGGATTTATGTATACCCAGTGATTTCACTTTTCGTAGTTTTTTTTTCTAAAATCCTTATTACCATGCTGCCAATATGCATTAAACATTTATTCTTATTTTATATGCTCCTTTTTCTCAGTTTGATAAATATTCATCAAGTGGTCAACAAAGACCAGATTCGAGTGATCAGTGTCCACGCTTCAACCAATCAGACAGTAATAATCATCAGTCTCAACCGCCTCCACCTCCACCACCAACATCTGCTTTAGTTTGTATTTCTAATGAATCAGGTGATGGGGAAGGAACCGGTGTAAATTCCTGCGATGAACATCCAGCAACCTGTGTTGGTCAAAGTGATACAGAGAGTACTAATCATTGTAGTGGTAATCAACAACAGGTCGTTAATATCGGTACTATTGCTACCACTAATCAATCGCCTGCTGCTTCTACTACTGATATTCATGGCACACCTAAAATAAGTAGTATAAATAATTATTCTGAATCACCAGCACTGTCACCATATTGGATTGTAGAAAATTGTTTAGAGAAAGTCAAGTGTTTAATGAACACGTATGAAATGCGTACTATAAATCATCAGACAATGCTTGGTAGCGAAGTAAGTACTTATTTTGATTGGTGAGTGTTCCGTTCTGTGATGTAGCCTTCCGTCGTATATTGCATTGAATTGTTCAGTCATTGTCGACATATGAGCTCCTGTGAAGATGCTTCGATATTGCCATTAATGTCAGTTTGATAGTAACGGTGGTTATAAGCTAACAATGAATTCCAGGATGCACGTCTCGTTTTATTTGAGACTCAGCAGGTAGTTGTATCTACACGAGGGCGAGTGATGTTCACATGGGGATTTCAACCCCTTAGTTGGTGAAGCTGTGGCACTTAGTTATGGATCCTAGGTTGTAGTCTGAGCGGGAGAAACATCACTGGGAGACAGGCATATCTAGCTGTTGAGTCCTGAATAAGGCGAAATTCACGTCCTGAATTCTATTGCTAGCTGCTATCCATTATTATAATTTATGTCGCTGGTTTTTTGGAAGATATGTAATGAATGGTGTTTAATTTATCTGTTTTTTATGTTGATCTCTTTTGTAATATGATACGGTATCAGTTTTGCATTGAATCAGTCACTATATCGCCATATCCCCTAGTTTCATGATATAAAACAGTTATCTTACTAACATCATCTGTGAACTGCTGTTTTACAGACTTGAGCAACTTTACATCATTAGTTTGGGAAGCTAACTTTCAACCAATGAGTCATGAGTTCGAATGCCGATCCACCTACAGAGCTTCAGGCAACCAGCCAGGTAGCATCATTAACTCTCACACAATAAGTTTGACTCATTCCCGATAGTACAGTTGTGCACAAGGTTGCTGAGTGCACTTCAGTTTGACCGTGTAACGGTCGTCATATCAGTACATCGAGATACATAAAGGCAATATTAAAAACAAGAAAATGAAATAATATCGTTGACAGTTGTAATAGCTCATAAGATGAAAAGAAAAGATGCTAAGGCGAGTAACAAAACGCCATATACTCGGCGATGATTGAGGGTGAAATAAAAATTTGGACCGCGACCTGATTCGAGCCAGAGACCACCGGTTTTTCGGTCCGATGCTCTACCAACTGAGCTACGAGGTCTGACTGTTGACTACATTTTTATTTCACTTCAATCACAACGGGTTTTGCCCGACTACCATGTGAATTTGTGACGCGTTACTACCACTTGATCGTATTCACACTGGCTACCTAGTCAGGACTTCTCATCCCAATCCAAACCTAACTGAATTAGAGAGGAGGGTACCATACTGGTTATCATTCCGACAACTTGAGATGTTATATAACAGTTAAGATGACGGCGTAGGGCGTGAATTCATGAAAGAGATTTGTAGCTCAAGATGAAGATGATGGTGGTTTGGTGTTCTCTGAGCTTAAATGTTTTGTCGTGAACGCTTCTTCACCAAGTTCGGTGACATCTTCAGCACTTCATGACTTCAGCTACCATGGTGCGTTAAGGTAGAGACGGTGACTTAGAATGAACATTACATACCCTAGCCACATATGTTACTGAGTTTGTTGACCATAAAGGACTCATATCGTTTATCTAGTGCAATACGTGTTGATTCCGTTACACCCAATCAATCCTACTACGAACGCAGTGGTATTCGAACTGCTGCACAGTGCACTTGACCTACGAAACTGATCGGATAACTTAGTTATACCTTAAGTAGGGCGAAAGTGAGATGAAACTTTTGTATCTGTGCGAATATTTTGTTGGTCACTGACCCATTAGAGCTAATCCGACATTCTGAGTTAGTGCAGTAGATTGTGCACTCTATGTTGTCAGACGACTTGTTTACACATTACTACAACAAATCCCAAATCTTCCCCGTTGGTTTACTCGTGGCGTAATTACTAGTGACGGCATTTTGATGTTTATTTGTGAAACAATTGCTCGGTGGTTATAGTCTTTTGTTGAGAGCGAAATATACTTATCCTATACATTGATTGACGGGTAACCAAAATCCATGTTATCTAGCCCTATGTTCTGATCGTTTTGTAGTGTGGCCATCAGTTCTATCGAGGTTGCAGATACACCTTTCTGACGAGTGCTAAAAAGCATGAAACCTAGGTCCAGGACTTCTAACCCATTCCCTTCATCCAACGAACATCCATGCTTATCTTGGTTGTAACATGACCAACCACCAAGTTAGGTGAGTTGATATCGTGGTTGAATAGTATGGAAGAAATCAACAGAACTCTTTGAATTCAATTTCTGGTTGAGATTCTAAAGTAAACAGAAAGATACTTTTACTCATCTGTCGATCAGTGTATCTAGTAAAACCTTACAGAAGGTTGATCGTCAATGGAGACAGCTTAGAGACACAGCATCCAACCACAGCGCTGAATGGTGAGGGTCGAAATTTCTAGTGAAATCGATCCTATCATGGTTGAGAATGCATCATGCCTATAGCTGCCAGCAACCACTATTTCCAGATCACATGAGGATTTTTCATAATTTTTGTCTAGTTTCCACTAACTTATATTTTGTTTACAAAAATGTGTATTTTGCTCGAAATTTCTTATCACTTCTTTGAAGTTCCCTCACTTTCTTTTATTGTTACATAGTTGTCAAAATTACATAGTGAATTGTTACTATCCAAGGATAGACTGATTGCTACAAATTGTACAATCCCACCTAATCCATATCATACAGATTCAATAGTTATTAACACACCGACAGTTACTCCTGTGCTGACATCAACAACCGATAGATGCTGTAGTGTAATGCTATCACACCAAACAAATCCAATGCCATATGATCAACCGAGTGAATTTGGAGATTCTGCTGTCGGTAGTGATTGTGCAACTGCTGCATCGTGTGCCTCCTCGTCTTCTTCATCAAATCTAAAGCATGTTTGCCCTCAAAAAGCATTTGAACGCGATTATTTAGCAAAGGAGCAGCAACACCCTTACCAGGCGGGAGGACAAGAAACTGTTCATCATCATCGTCTCCATCATCATCTTGATATTGTTAGTGGAAAAGTCTATAACGACTCAGTTTTACTTGGCTCAGACAGACATTTAAAATAATGTGAGTTATACACAGTAGAACATTTTTTTTCTTTTAATTGGAGAGTACTTGTCAGTTTGAAGCATGAATAAAGACCTCAAAATCTTACATAATTCCTTACATTAGCATTGAACTGGCCAGCGGTAAAAGAAAATTACTTTTAGCTCTTGCTTATATAACTAGTCTTCATCTGATCGGTAGCTTATCTGTACTCTTATTTGTTCGTTTAGTATTTTTCGAACTAACAGTGTTGATTGACTGGTTTCTTTGTTTAATTCGCAGCATGGTTTAGGCTATCTGACTTGTTTCCCTTGATGCTTAATTCGGTCTCATCATTGACTGACTCTTCATTGGCTTCTAAGAGATTATATAATAGGTTGTTTGAAACTCCTTTCTTTGTTTATGATTTGAGATACTATTGATCTTTCAGGCAATGAACTTCCTTTCCTATTCGATTATTTGGGTTTCTGATTGATAAGATTTTTGACTGTAGCACTGAGAGATACGGGTTATGAATCTCTAAAGAAAGATTAACTGTCTCGAAGTTGCATATGCACCATACTGACAAGTAACAACAAGTAAAAATTCTAACCTCCTCAGGGTTTCTTACTGATAACCTTCGAGCACTAAGCTTTGCATTGATGTATCTCTCTTTTATCCGCTAGTAAAAAAAATAATGACACTGAACACCGGTACGGGTGTTTATTCGCTAGATTATGAACCACAGTTATGTGCAATGCTGTATGGTATTACCAAGTGGCTTATAGTCACGTCATTTGAACACGAAGCTCATTGTTTGAGAAAGTTGAATACACAAACTAAATCTACTATGAGTCACTAATTGGGATGATGATACCCCAGTAATAGTTGATTTCCTTAACTAGAATACTAGTAACTGACCAACTAGAGTGGATTCTGGTAGACATGTGAGTCACAATCACTTCCTCATCTGTTCATCGTTTCTGTGTAATTACTGGCGATGGACATGAGCAGATCACATACTTCTCTGAATTAGATAGATAAAAGGCACATACCTTTCTTCTGTTGTGTAAATTGTTCCATATGGTTGTGAGACTGTACTATAATTTAACTATTATTATACCTACTTGTTGGTTAGTGTTGCATCTTATTATTATTAGTATTTGTCCCTTGGGTTCCTAATGGAACATAGGGCTTCACTAGTACGTCTCCAATGCGCTCTATTCTCTGAAATCTTTTGAACCTGGCTCCACGACAGCCCACAACCTCTCATTTCCTCCTCCCAACATCTCCTCCATGTCACCCTCGGACGTCCAACTCGTCGCTTCCCATCCGGGTTCTACTTGAGGGCCTGGCCTGGCGCGTGATGTCCCCAGTCGGCCTTCTCAGTGTAAGCCCAATCCAATCCATCTCCACTTCCTTCTGAATATTTGTTGGGTGATAGGTTCTTGGTTGGTTCGTTCTCAGAGCTCCTTGTTACTTTTTCCTTCTAGCCATCTGATCTTCAGTAGCGAGCGAGCGTAAGCAGTTGTTGATGAATGTCTGTAGTTTGTTGGAAATGCCTTTTGTAACGCGCCAAGTCTCTGACCCATACAGAAGCACTGATTTGACGTTGGCGTTGAAAATCCGAATCTTGTTCCACATGCTGAATGTAGTGCCGTAGATCTCCACACTGGTTTCAGGCTGATGAACGCCTGTCTTGCTTTTCCGATCCTGGCCGACTTTGACATCTTCGTCTGTGCCGCCTGTAGTTGAAACAGTGCTTCTCAGATAGGTGAAAAAGGCTACTTCCCTTAAGTTCCTCCCGTGGATGCTGATTGGAGTTTGTTGTTGTTGGTGCGGTACCTTCATCACCTCTATCTTCTCTATATTCACCTGAAGTCCCGTCTTCGCCGCCCTGCCTCTTCTACCAACTTATTAGTTTTCGCCTGTAGATCTTCAAGTTTGTGTGACATCATGCAGAAGTCATCGTCAAAATCCAGATCTTCTAGGTTCGTTTCCGCAGTCCAGCGTAGCCCCCTCTTCTCACAGCTCCTCACTGTTTGTTGCATGATCCAGTCTAGTCAACCACAATCAAGAATATCATGGGTGATATTAGACAGCCTTGTTTCACTCCTGCATGTCTTCACTTCAAAAGCATCACTGAGCTTCCCAGTGTGAATTACTTGGCATGTGGCATCTTCATATAGTTGTTGAATGAGGTTGATGAAGATTTGTGGCACTCCGTAGTGTTGAAGCAACTGCCAAATTACTTGTCAGTCGACGCTGTCAAAGGCCTTCTCAAAGTCGATAAAGTTGAAGTAGAGTTGAGTTGACTGCCATTCTTTGCTCTGTTCTATGATGATGCGTAGCGTAGTGTTGCAATTTGATCCGCACACGATTTGTACTTGCTGAGTCCAGACAGCCAACGAGTCTGTTCCGGTCGTAGTTTTGAATCCAGCACATCTTTTAGTCTCTCCAGGATGATGCGGCTTAATATTTTGCTTGGAGTGAACAGAGACAGGAGCGTAATTCGGTGACAGTTCTTGCAAACACTGAGGTCTCCCTTCTTCGGGAGTTTGACAAGGTAACCCTTCTTCCAATCAACTGGCAGGTACCTTCTCTTCCTTCGAGACCTTCTGCAATAGTGGTGTGAGCATGTCGGTTGCTGTTGTCTCTGAGTCTGTTTTCAGTGCTCGTGGCGGGATTCCATCTGGTCCTGCTGCTTTCTCCCGTTTCAGTAGCTTTATGGCGCTCTGGACTTCTATGTTACATGTTTCATGTTATATACTTGGGACTGACTAGCAGCGGTATCCAGGACTCCTGCTTCGTCCTAGCAACTGGTGATGTGTCCACTGAGACTTTAATGCAACATCCGTCACTTCAAAGGCCAGAAAAAAGATTAGCGTATTGAAACACAAAAGCTTGGTACACTTTACTAAGAGGAAAAGGAATGAGACAAAATTTTTCAAAAGTGTTAGAGAATGAATTTAAATGACAAGTAGGAAAGACGCTACAACTTTACCACAATGTGGGGATAAGTAGCTGAAGGTTAATGAAGGTATTCAAGACTTTGAAGACGATAAAGAGTGTATGCATCTGTGTCATTACAATCGATTTTGTGGCATATTGTAAAGTTTCCAACAATGAATCCCTTACACCTGTTGAATTCCAATCAACAAACATCTGCTTACACAGAACAAGCCAACAGCTCGAGACCTCTAAGTTTGATAATATGTCTTGAACTGGTCACATTTAACCTTCTTCCAACGGAATCCTGTGCCGACTAACACTGCGCATTGAAGCACATATTCAAATCACTTTCAACGAATGACGTCCATAACGTCATCGACTGACTTACCTTCTTTTGCTTAGTGGAATAGAGAAAAACGATCTCAGCCACATCGTGCACATTTGTGCCGCAAGCAGTGACCCACATTTTTTTGTGAGTGCTAGTGATACTACCTGGCTTCCCCACTTCGATAGGTAGTGCAAGGTTAGAATCCGTGACTCACCAGTTGATAGTCATCGCCCTAAACTACTGAAGCGCAGGCCTAGTACTCTACACCCAATCTCATCACTGTTTTCATGGTAGTCTCATTTTGTGAACAAAAGCGTTGTTACGCTTTCAATGATAATCTGTAACAGCTGTTCAGTAAAACAAAGAGAACTACGACGCAGTACACTCGTATTTTGACTAGTTATCAGATATCTCGCTATCTGTAACAGTGTTGTAAGTTGTCGAAGATCAGTTAGGTACACTGCCTTGCTATACATTCTGCATACGCTGTGCTGTCCTCACCAAGTATTTGGATACATGAAAAGTATAGTGACCAAAATTATGAACATATAAATACCTCTGTTTATTCAACTGTGCAAAGTGCTAGTTTTATTTATACGATTGACATATTCATCTGTTTGAATGCAAGTGTATAATACTCAGGTCTTCCTTCGCCAGACTGATCGTTCATCTTAAAAAGTTGTATGGATGCTAATTTATAGTTTGTTTTGAGAAAAGGACCCTAGTACTCTTTTACAAGTAATAATTAGTTTATATGTATATAATTCATTTCTTTCTGCTTTCTTTTCTACAGCGAATTGCATTTCCAATCAATAAATGGTTACAATTTCCTCATAATTCGTTGAATTTTTACTTCCCTCATTTTTTTGACATGCACTCACCACTGACACTACTTTCTTCTGTTTATCAGTAGTATTATTGCTTCTAGCGACTTATATAATATGTGACTTTAATCATAGTAATATTTATAATATTTTATGCCTTATTTTAATCTTTTTTTATATTGCATTTATGTAAATATGTATAACTTGAAAATCTTTTTACATTTATCATGTTTACACTTGTATTTCGTATTGTTTACTTATATTATTTCTCAGTACTTCATTGCATATATGACTTCATGTTTCACCCTATGCTACCGTTTGTTTTCATTGAATCATTTATCACGGAATTTTTTTGAAAAAAAGTTCTTGTTACATTTCCTTTGATGAATATCTTCTTTTGTAATCTCATGCATTTTCCAAGTCTTAATATCTAAATATTTTGATCATTATTTTATGCCTTTCTTGTTCACAAGAAGATACAATTTCAGCTAATGTGATTGAGTTTTGTTTAAATGCATTATTATTTTGCAGCATAAAAGGAAGATAATATGAACACTTAAATTGTGATTGGATGTGTTGTCCGACTAGATTTTATTTAGATTAGTTGAAGAGATTACATTTATAGTATAACTAGGTTATATCTGTTTATTGTTGATGTGACCAGTCATGTTACTTCTTAAATATTAAGTCAAATAAAGTATCATATTATGAGGTTGGTATCATCAGGAGATTTATTAGGATTTGAACTCTTGTTATTGAGATTAACCCTTATGAACTTAGGTTTTAAACTTTCGTTGACTGAAGTGTTTTTTGGACATGTTCAAGGCATCCCAAACTGCCACCTACCTCGACGTGCAGTGCTCGAAGTTGAATTTGATTGGAAAAGGCTCAGTGTGGTCAGACTAAAACTTGACACCAGTTCATGAAGTCTCTGACTCTTGATCCGAGTCGTGAAGGGAGGTTTAGACTACTTAGTCCCGGAGACGATAAGAATCAGTGGTTACGAACTTTTGGTGACAGCTAACTGACACCTTCCAAAGCCTAAATATTTTAACCTTTGCTTTGATATCAGTCCTTCTTATCCACTTATTCTTTGAATGCTACTGTGAAGTGTGGCAACTTCGACCGATGTCCGAAGTTCTAGATTGATTTGTGCCTTGGTTATGAACTATCACATAATCTATTTTACGTCATAATTGATCATCAAATATTTCTTAGGATTAATGTTGAATTCTCATGAGAACTAGTCACTAGTGGGTCGAGAGACAATAAGGCTCATGCAAAAATTTCCTACCTGACTATGCCCAGGTTTCTCAACTGAAAACTTACTTGGTTATGCTTGAAACTTATAATGCCATAGTACACAATAAATTACAGATAATCGGCAAACTCATTGTGATTGAGAACGATGTCTAAGGAAACTTTTCTAAACTCCAACGGATAAGTGTTAATATCGATAACTTCGTGACATTTTTATTTTCTGTGTTGCTGGAGTCATCAATAACGAAGAGTTTTAGTATGGCTTCCTTGAAAAAAGAGCATATTATTATTTTCTTCTAACTACACATATTCTGATTGACTAGGCAAATCTTTTTGTATTCAAATCACAATCTACACTTAACTATCCTGTTGACTGACTTTTCATGCATTCGATTTCATCTACACATGTCACTAACTACTTCCAGCATTCATAAAATATTTTCTGTTTAAATCACACTGATTATTGTGAAACATGATTCATCAGTTGATAAACTTATAGTCTGAAAAGGAAGTTATTGAGAATAGTTATCTGTTAAAATAATTCTTGTGTGAGAATATTTAATGATACGCCTTTCTAGTCAGCATTTTACGGAAACTAAATTTTTTGGGGTTTTTTCAATCGTTTTATGTAATTGATTATGAGGTAGCAGGTTGAAGATGATAATATTCTAATGGTCTCCAAGGTTTGAGATTTGTTTTTGAACGTTTCATCACCTGACTAGAATGTACTGGTTGATTACATATTCAAACTTATATTACTGACTGTTCCAGTCTGTGGTAACTACATTTTCCACCTGCGTGAGTCCAGTTGTTTCCTATTCGCCAACATACTTTAAGCTTGTTGATACAGTCACATCATCAGCAATCTTTGCGAAACTGCTAAATATTTTATCTTCCAATCCACTTAAAGAGAATACAAGGCGTGGATGCGCATGAATCGTTTAGTGCAACAGTATGAATGAGTCAGTATAGGTCATTTAAATTCTCGTTTCGGCTTAGATAGTCAGTTGTAAAGATTCGTGGGTTGATGCTACGTTTCCACCTGTCCAAGCCACCTTCTTTTCAACATAATTCTATACTAGTTAGTATTGCATGTTAAGTGGCTGCACAACTTCACTTATTCCAGTCTCTGAAGTTTGGAAGTTCGCTGAAATTTCAGCCTTCTTCATTTTAGCACTGAAGATTACTACCTTTTTATTTCCTTTACACGTGATTAATCTTTCGAAAGTTCATGACCTCTAAAAGCTGTAACCTATTAATTTCTTCAACCCCCGAAGCTTGTTTTTTTTCAACCGTAGAGTACTACAGAAGAGATTGCTTTTCTATGTAGTTTCTTTTAAGTATCTTAACAGTACAAAAGTGGAGTGTGTAGCTTGATAAATATCAAAGAAGCCTTTTTGTATTCGTTCTAGTATTGAGTTAACAATTATTCCGTTATGATTGGTGTAACTTTCTGAATAGATGAACCAACCAAACAGCAGTTGGAAGCATCAGCTTACATTTTACACGTAACCAGTGGATACCTAACATGCTTGGGAACTAACAGGATCAGAGTTAAGTGTGTATACATAAACCCTGAATTAAAGTTACTAGAAATTCTATTAAACCTCGCCTGGTTAACTAGTTCACTAGTTACCAGCCTGGGTAAAGAGGGAAGGTTGGGCATAGGGCCAGCAACCCTACCCAGGAAAACAAATCTAACCGCTAAAGAAACTTCAAAACACGAACAAAATACAAAAAATAAAAACAAAATTATTCCTCGCTGGAATCGGAGGGGCGAAGTGACGCCAGTTAGTGAAAGCCAATTAGCCGATGTGTCTTCTCTCCCTCGACGAGAGCGAAAGTAAACGTGGGGACATGGAATGCCCGCACGATGTTTGAACCCAGCAAGGCAGCCCAGCTTTCAAACGAGATGAGAAGGTATAGCACTGAAATGCTTAGAATTTGCGAAAGCAGATGGAATGGAAGTGGACTCTCCAAACTGTCAACTGGAGAGGAGTCAATAATCTACTCCGATATTGTCACCCAAACGACAACCACCAGCACACTGAGTTATGGAGTGGCTATCATGATGTCTCCAACAGCATCGAAGGCTCTCTCTGATGCAATGGGAAACAATCTCTTCCTGCAGGATCATGACAGCAAGATTCAACTCAAAAGGAAGGAAGGTCACACTCATTCAATGCTACGCTATTCACCTACAAATAGTGCGGATGAAGAGAAGAAGGAGGAATTCTACAGACAACTGCATTCAACACTGGACAAGACCCCACCTTAGATGGCGATATCAAAATTTTAATGGGCGACATGAATGCGAAACTGGGAGGGGACAACACAAGAAGAGAACAAACCATGGGTCGAGAAGCGCTCGGTGAAGTGATGAACGAGAATGGAGAATTGTTTGCAGAATTCTGTGCATTCAACGATTTGGTGATTGGAGTGAGGCAGTGTATTCAAGCACAAGGATATCCACAAAGCGACATGGATTCGATTTCACCAGATGGCCACACTAAAAATCAGATCGAGTTTATCTCAATGTGAAGAAAGTGGAGACGCAGTCTACTTGACACAAGGTCAAGAAGAGGACCAGATGTAGGTTCACACCACTCACTATCTAGTACAAGGAACCTATTTTCCAAATCAAGTTAAAAGCCTTCTCAGAAGCTGGTGATAGAACACATTTCAAGTACAACACTCGGAAACTGGAGGACGAAACTACAAAGGAAATCTTCACGTCAGCCATCAAGACAAAATGAGAGATATCGAGGAACATACCTGAAGAAACCTGTGTGGAAGAACACTGGAAGTCTTTGAAAGAGATGTGGAAAGAAACCTGCACAGCCGTATTAGGAAAGAGGGAAGAAGAAATAAGATAAGGAACGGACCTCGACGGTTCTCCACATGGAAGCTGATAGAGGAGAGGAGGATGGTGAAGCAGAAGATAAACCAGTGCAAGTATGCTCAACGACATGAGGAACTGAGTACAATGTATAAAACACTACACTGGAGAAAGAAGTGAAGAAGAGTGCACGCAAAGACAAAAGACACTTCTACGAAACACTGGCAAGTGAAGCAGAACAGGCTGATGTAGGTAGGAGAGATAGAGACCTACCAACATTCTATCAAATAACCAGGTTGCTATCTGGGAAGAGATCAACGCAGACGAAGCCAATAAAAGATGACGGAAATTTAATTACGAAAGAAGAGAAACAATGGGCCGACCACTTCAAGATGCTCTTGAATCGACCACCACCTGCACTTCGTCCAGAAATACCAGCTAGAGCCGCTGAGCTACAAGTGAACATAAATCCTCCAACAAAAATGGAAGTCCTGAACGCCATAAAGCTACTGAAACGGGAGAAAGCAGCAGGACCAGATGGAATCCCGCCACAAGCACTGAAAACAGAGACAACAGCAACCGACATGCTCACACCACTATTGCAGAAGGTCTCGAAGGAAGGGAAGGTACCTGCCAGTTGATTGGAAGAAGGGTTACCTTGTCAAACTCCCGAAGAAGGGAGACCTCAGTGTTTGCAAGAACTGTCACCGAATTACGCTCCTGTCTCTGTCCACTCCAAGCAAAATATTAAGCCGCATCATCCTGGAGAGACTAAAAGATGTGCTGGATTCAAAACTACGACCGGAACAGACTCGTTGGCTGTCTGGACTCAGCAAGTACAAATCATGTGCGGATCAAATTGCAACACTACGCTACGCATCATCATAGAACAGAGCAAAGAATGGCAGTCAACTCAACTCTACTCAACTTTATCGACTTTGAGAAGGCCTTTGACAGCGTCGACTGACAAGTAATTTGGCAGTTGCTTCAACACTACGGAGTGCCACAAATCTTCATCAACCTCATTCAACAACTATATGAAGATGCCACATGCCAAGTAATTCACACTGGGAAGCTCAGTGATGCTTTTGAAGTGAAGACATGCAGGAGTGAAACAAGGCTGTCTAATATCACCCATGATATTCTTGATTGTGGTTGACTAGACTGGATCATGCAACAAACAGTGAGGAGCTGTGAGAAGAGGGGGCTACGCTGGACTGCGGAAACGAACCTAGAAGATCTGGATTTTGACGATGACTTCTGCATGATGTCACACAAACTTGAAGATCTACAGGCGAAAACTAATAAGTTGGCAGAAGAGGCAGGGCGGCGAAGACGGGACTTCAGGTGAATATAGAGAAGACAGAGGTGATGAAGGTACCGCACCAACAACAACAACAACAACAAACTCCAATCAGCATCCACGGGAGGAACTTAAGGGAAGTAGCCTTTTTCACCTATCTGAGAAGCACTGTTTCAACTACAGGCGGCACAGACGAAGATGTCAAAGTCGGCCAGGATCGGAAAAGCAAGACAGGCGTTCATTTGCCTGAAACCAGTGTGGAGATCTACGGCACTACATTCAGCATGTGGAACAAGATTCGGATTTTTAACACCAACGTCAAATCAGTGCTTCTGTATGGTTCAGAGACTTGGCGCGTTACAAAAGGCATTTCCAACAAACTACAGACATTCATCAACAACTGCTTACGCTCGCTCGCTACTGAAGATCAGATGGCTAGAAGGAAAAAGTAACAAGGAGCTCTGAGAACGAACCAACCAAGAACCTATCACCCAACAAATATTCAGAAGGAAGTGGAGATGGATTGGATTGGGCATACACTGAGAAGGCCGACTGGGGACATCACGCGCCAGGCCAGGCCCTCAAGTAGAACCCGATGGGAAGCGACGAGTTGGACGTCCGAGGGTGACATGGAGGAGATGTTGGGAGGAGGAAATGAGAGGTTGTGGGCTGTCGTGGAGCCAGGTTCAAAAGATTTCAGAGAAGAGAGTGCATTGGAGACGTGCGAGTGAAGCCGTATGTTCCATTAGGAACCCAAGGGAATAATAATAATAATAAAAATAATAATAATGGTAATAATACTAGAAATTCTATTAGTTTTCGTGTTAATTATGTACCTTCCAAGAGCATGGAATAATAGAAAACACCAGCACAGCCTTAATCACCATAGGAACTGGGATAATTGCCTAACAGTCGTAGTGACTGAACTGTAGCTATATCAGCTCATCTAAAGAAGAAGGGGTAGCGTGAAAAATGAGAATTTCAAAAACGGCTCACGTGAAGATCAAATGTGCAAGGATCTGTTTCACTGAATTCGATTCCGAACCATGTCACTGGGAATCTCCGTTCATCAATACCAAAGCAAAATAAATTTCTAAGATGTAATTAAAAAATCCAATGCTACTATCCTCAGTATATGCTTACATACTGGGCTATGAGATATCCTTATTTTGTAACAGTTAGTCATACTTTTCGGCTGTCCAGATCGAACCATGTAGAGCAGGGCTCAAAATGTAGGTCTCGAGAAGGAGGCGGCTAAGTCAATCGATCACAGTTATCATTAAGCTTCATGTGTTCACCTGTGTCATCTTACCAATGAGTATAAAGGCTATCCTCTCCCCTTCAAATAAATGACAAATGCCACTTGTAAACCAGAGCATCTATTACCCTTCGAATCCGCTATTGTCTTCATGATGGAAATTCATCATAATGGTAAAATTGTTTAGAATTGAAATTTTTCTTTGATAAATTGCATATTAGTTGTAGGAATCAGAAATTCGGGCACAGGTTTCTTGGTTCCCGTTTTATCTTTATAGAATTCACGGTGTTTTTGAGCAGCCTGAAAGAAACGAAAAGAAATTGAAACAATAGTGATGATGTGTACATTCTGGACATCTTAGCATAGGTGTTTATTGAATGTTATTGCGTGTAATTTATCGTCACTGACTGGTCACTGTTGGCATGTGGGATTCTGAGCGAATGCCTTGTTATTGCCAGTAACTTCATTTTGATAGATAATTTGTAAGCAGTGAAGTCCAAGACGTGCGTTTCACCCTATTCAAGACTTGTCAGCTGGATATACCTACCTATCAGTGAGTGGTGTTGTTCTCATTTAGTCTCGAACACTGGACCGATTCTTTCAAATACCAAAACATTATCTACTAGGTCACTGGGCCACGTTAGCCAACCCTAGTTCGAAGGGTATATTTTCGATGTTTTTACTGAAACGAATTTATCAGCCACTTCTAGTTATGATTGGAACAACATTCACTGGAAGGTACGTGGATCCAACTGACGCGCTCCAAATAAGAAGAAATACGTGTCTTGGATTTCCGTGCTAGCCACTATCCATCATCACATTTTATTTTTCTGTCAGCAAAATGTTTTCCAGCTCATGAAGAACTATTTGAAAGTTTTGTCAGTTGGCATCGGATTTTCATCATATGTTGTGATCATTAATCCTAGTACTGAAGAGTTCCAATCTGGGACAAAACGGATATTTATCACTTCTATGTTTTCACTAGTTCTCAAGTTAATGATAACCATCAAACTAAATCAATTTATTGCAAATCACTTGAGTGAAATTCAAAATTCTTCCTTATTGATAAGAATTGTGAAGATGGTAGGATTTCCGATGCATCAACAAATTTTGTTGCAACTTTCCACCAGTCAGATACCTTATCATAAATTATTCTTTGGGTATCGCGTGTTCATACAGAAATTTGAATTAGAGAATCCAACAAAGAATATCACACAGAAGTGTACTAGTTCAACTAACATAAATTCGCGAGAAAGTGAGAATCAAGAAAAAAATGATATCAAAGGGGTTCTCGTCATGAGTCGAAAACATATTTAGGGAACCGTTGAAAAGCTTGGTCGCCCTATGTCACTAATTGACAGTTGTCGGCGAACCTGTGCCATTAGGTTTCAACTTAGTGTTTGGATGGTAACATGCTCTCCATGAGAGCAAGCAGTCCTGAGTTCGACCCCCCACAGGGTTAAGCGTGAGCACTTCTAAGGAGTTGCAAGCTAGGACGAAACGGCTGTCCACTACCACCAGGTTTTTACTGGTTCCTCAGTTAATGTTATTCCATGATGAAGACTACTTTGAAGTGAATCAATCGCCACAAATTTCTAAATTGAATATGGAAGGTGATATTGGTTTTAACTAGGTCGAATATAAGGATGAATACCTACCTATGTTAGTACAGGATGGACGCATATTGACATAAGTTAGAATAAGTGGTCCTGTAGAGTTGTGGCTCGGTGATGAAAGAAGATGAATTTCAATTAGAAGGGTCCTAGTTCGAACCTTCCCCAATCTACTGAGGTTTGGACAGCCAGGAAATATCATTGGCCCTCTCACAACAGGTGGGGCTCATTGGTTACTACACAATGGTTACTGAGTGGATTACGAGTAGGTGGTCCATTGATGTGGTAATCATTGAATAATGACGGGCATACATCAGCGGTAATAATTTACCAGTTACACTTAGCATTGGTTACAATAGTAATTAGTTCACTTACTAGATCGAAATTTCTAAGTTCATATGATCTTTCATTATCTTTATTATAAAGTTGACAGTGGAATCTGTCACCATATCTTTCACGACCTTGTATTCTTTTATTAATAACAATTTCTGGATTATGTGAATAGAATGTCGGAAAACTTCCTCCATCTTTATATGGTGTCATAGATGATTGAAGAACTGTTGAACGATAATCTTGAAATTGTTTACATGTATAAGCACCATATGTTAGACCATAATCAAATTTTTCACCTGGACAGTGTCCTCGATATCTTATAGAGGATAAAATTAACAAAAGTGGAATTTGTCTGGATTCAACCATTATAAACTTTTAACGAAATATTGAAGCTTGAATTTTCAAATCTTGTAAAACGTAATGTTATCATCACCTTAAAGCGCTAACTATATTCATAAAGCAATGAGTCATTACCTCAAAGATCTTTGCAGTTACGCCAATAAAACATTTCAAATCAGTTTGTCACAAGCCTCATACAACAAGTGTGACTCAGCCTAGTACACATATACGCACTGGGTTGAGTTACATTATATTTCCATAGATTGAGAAAACGAAAAAAATAGACTGACATATATCCCCCTCAAAGAACAAATTGAATAAGCGTAAAAATGCAGTGTAATTATTGATATCTGATGTCATGGCTGCAATTTACAAAGCGTCCTTAATGCTGACTAATTAGGTCTAGTGAACTATTCACTTGACTCGATGTTCTACTGCCGGTTACTCTAACGACTTTAACGAAGATGGATTGACTGAATGAATATTTCACGAGTATATCGGTTTCACCACCAGAGGAAAGTTTAGATGTGTGACGTGGTTATGTAGGCTTCATAAAAAGGGTGTAGAATGAAATATTTATACTTTGACTGCTCACTGGAGAGTAACCAACTTCATGTTGTCCAGTCATAAGTGCCGATTGTATTCTATCGAACATTTTGCCACCAAGGTAGGAGACTGACTGTCGTAATGTACTGAGGTAGATATTAGTTGAATGGACGTGATCAGCAGGAAGCTATAAACCTAGGTTTCGTAATTGTGGGTGCTCATCAGCAAGGCGTATCTGTAACCTAGTCGGAACCCATATCCTGCCTAAGGTTGGGACCCGCTTCGCCTGGTGATGCAGTTGGAGACGTTATCACTGAGCTATTCGGGTTTCGACTGACCCCTTGTAGGACTGGGTTAGGTACGTCGGATACACCTTGCTGATATGTGCCAATAAGCAAGAAACCTAAGTCCGGAGCTTCCCGTCGATTGCCTCTATCTAACTAACATTTGTGTTTCTCAGAAATGGGGTTGATAAGAATACTACTCTTAACAGGGCTAAGATAAAGATCGCTTTCGCATTTGTGAAAAGGTTACGTTGGACGACGAAATAATTACTGAAACAACAGTCACAATATTTTCTGACAAACCTATCTTCTTGAAACTTGGACTCAAACGTAACAGTGTTAGTGAGACGAAAACTCGATGTTTGAGAAAAGTCTTTAGGAGAATATTTGAAAATGTTGAATTTATGTCCTGTTATTCAATTCCAGTTGCAAGGTGATAAAGTTAAACTTCCCAGTTCTGCCTGTTCTCTGTGCACTTTATCAGTTTCATTTTTCCGATGGAAACAGGTACACATGATTTGCATTTGAGGAAGTCTACAGATGAATTAATTTCTCTGCATCATTTATCATGGTTGGTTAAAGGACATGAAAAAGTTCCACATCTACATATTTAGTACAGAATGGTTATCAAATTAACACAGGCAAAGCTTTAAAAATCCGGTTAGTTTGTTTATCTAGTATATATAGTGGAAACCATTGGTAAGAATCATAACAGACCGAAGTTTGCTATCCAAGGAAAGTATGTGAAGCTCCTCTAATTACTTTGGAAGTCAAGTTTTTTTCATCAGTGAACTTAAAATGTCTGTAGATAATCCTTTCTCATTCGTTCAGTTCATAACTTTTATGTCACTTGTTATTACGCAATTATTTGTTGTTAACACAGGACAACTTGCCAAAATACTTCACTTTTCTCCTCAAGCAGTAAGCAACCAGTTAAAAAACAAACTATTTTCCACTTTTATAACCATGGTTTGGTGTTCCTTGATATTTTATTGTTAAATTTATGATATCCTCAGGACTGATTTCATACTTAAGTTGATTTTAGAGGAAGAGATTTTTAATGCACCCCCCCCCTTTTTTTTTCTTTTAATTCCATTCCATCATGCTAGAAAAGAATCTTTGTTAGGTTGAAATCGTGCTATTTGTTTGTAATTAGTATTGTGTTTCATTATTTGATAGGATGTGACCTAGATGGAAATCAATATGTTAAGTCATTAGCAGCTAAAGTAGAAGTTTTTATATTCCAATTTTTGCTTCATAATACTGTAAGGTCAGGGAAAAGCCTAGTGGACAATTTTTCCCTACAGTTGATCAATCAAAATAATCGCTTAACTTTAAACCTATTAGTTTTATATGTTCATGAAAACTGTACATAAATGACGCATTTTCATCGAATAAAGTGTCTTCATTACAGTCTTCTGATTTTCATTGCTCAGTGAAGTATTGGATAACGAGGGAGAACAATTGCTATTCGTATCCAATCCAAGTAGTTCATTGTGCATATTCATTATTATTCACTCGATCGTTTGTTTGACCACATTTTCTACTTGCTTGGTAAATTGTTGTTTTCTTTGTAAGCAGATTGTAGACTAGGTCTATACCCATATACCTCTGGAATGAATTGTCGTTTGGATACTAGGTTTTTAGAAATTCTCCCGAACCTTCTAAAACTACTGTTTTTAGAATTTCTACATTAACCTAGTCAAGTTTGTGGTCTCGGTTCTTTACACGAATTAAAGGATAGACCATGGGTCTATATTAGTAATTTGTTCGTGAGTTCTTTGGTAATTTTGACCCCTAGACAAGCCAATTTAGTGTTATGAACAATCTTTGCGGTTAATTAGTGTAAGTTACATTTATCCTGCCTTTCTTTGTCAACGGATCCTTTGACTTGATCAATATGCTGTGCAGTGATTTCATTGGTTTATACTCCTTTTTGATCCAGAACGGACGAATCAGTTGATTGACAGTCTCTGAAACATCCTTCATGTGAAATAGAAGTAAGACAGTTATTGATTTAACATAACTGAACTATTCTGTGTTCTGTAGATAAACATTTTTAGTAATGTTGAGTAAACAGTCATTGGTTTTGGATATTTTGTACAGGTATTTTTCTTCTTCTTCTTCTTCGCATAGTGCGGCAATACATCTTCATCTGTGAAAATAATGTTTGTATACAGCATTTTTTTTTTTGATGGACTATATAATAATTACTGTTTTAGTTCAAATTTGATAGGTGTATTTAGTTTTGCTGTATGCCTGAGTTTGTAAATTCTCGTCATATGTTCCATTACTGATAAGAATATCAGAGAATTGGATTTTGTTATTGACGTTTTCTTGTTTAGTGAATTGAATATTCCTTCAAATTTTTGGTTACTTAATTTGAAAACATTTTTGATTTCATCCTGTGTGGAAATTTTACACATGTTGTCAATGTACCAATTTTCATGTTTATTGATTCCAATCAGCGCTGCAGCAATCACTCCTATAGGTATCGCTTTTATTTGTCAGCTAGGTTGTAAAGAATCGACCGATCAACTCTATTAGATTTGGAATGGTGAGTTTCGTATAGTCTGGAAGACATTAGTATATTTTTCAAAAGAATATCCACTGTCTCTTTCATATATAAATAGGATAAAGCCTAAGCAACATCTGTTGAAACAGAGAAGATGAAGATGGAAAACCTTAGAAGTATTTTAAATGTGGCTGACTTATTACCCAACAAATGATCACATCTGCATCTTATTCTAAAAGAGTAATCTATATCGACTCTTGACTTCTTTTTATGTAGTGTCCGGTAAGTGTAATTATACTACATACACATGAATATTGATAAGGAACATCATGTCTGTATTCCTGAAATACAATATCCCTCTACAGGCCACTTCTAAAAACAACAGAAGCCTTGGTTATCTATGGACTGAAGACTGACTTTTGTCTATAAAATAAGTAAGTACAATTTTTGTCGCTATTATGACCCTAAAAATTAATTTGATCTTAGTTTGTTTCGTTTCGTTTTCTCTTTCCAAATTCCCCCCATTATTATATTAATCTATGTACTCTTTTATCTTCATTACCAATACTGTTTTAACATTTGATAGTTATCGGTGTTACTTCATTAAATCTTGTCAATAACTTCATCTTTTATCACAACATTTTCAAATTATTTCTGTTAACTTAGTTGATTTATATAACCTAGTCCGTTGTTTTTTGGTCATCTGTATCATCTGTACCACCCCAATATAAGTTAAGTGCACTGTATGAACGACCTAACCACATTATATAACGCATTTTGTGATCGTTCGACTCCTAAGTCCTCAACTAGCAACATTGTTATACCCATAACCATCATTACTGTTGTTCCCGTCACAGATTACAGTCTTCAAATCTCATCCATCTACATGAATGTATCGCTTGAAAATAAATTTGTTCGAAAAAGCCTTCTTCGCTTAATATCTTATTTTTGATGAGAATTAGGAATTATTATTTCAATTTGAAAGTTTCAACAGATCTTTAAGAGTTAATTAATTCACTGAACCATGTAGTAGGTTCACATTATGGAACAGCTAAAGACTCCAAAAAATTTCATTTCTATGAGCAATGTCTACATACTGGTTGCTCCCTTATCCTACCATAAATTTGTGCTTGAAAGAAAAATAGAATTCTAACCAGTGAAATTACCAGATACCTCATTGACACATGACATCAGGGTGAAACCTTGAGTGGTTCATGAAATATCATGACATCATTTTATGCTATATATCTCGTCCTTCTTGCTTTGTCCAAACTTATCTAAGGATGTAATTGCATGAAATCCTATGATAGTCTACAAAATGCTGAGCTTGTGATTCGATTACAAGGTGTTTTGCGAGTTCACGTTGTTCTCGCCTTTAACTAAAGCACACACTGAATGCTTCTCAAATAGGACAAAACGTGTGTCCTGGATTCCTCTGCTAGTCACCAAAGTCAATACAACACCATGAATATTCAGCAGTATCGAGGCATTCGCATAGGAGCCGATCTGTCAACAGAGGTCGAACAACTCGGTCCTGTATAGAAACAGGAAATTACAAGTATCATAAAAACAATAAACACTTCACAGTTCCCAAATCATGTTTTATAATATTTATCGTCTAATGATTAAAATAATGTTTATCTCATCCGTCTATTTCATAACTAACTTACCCAGGCATTAGTCTTGGATGTATATAAGTGGCATGGTGAGTGGTTTTGACATTAGATGGTGACAGATTTAGGTGATTATGATTCATTTGTATAAAACTTTTGGTGCTCTGATAGATTACGCCGGCACTGCTACCAGTTTGATTGATTCTATAAAAGATGCATAAATATGCTTATCAGACTAAATTGAACAACATTTCTATGATAAAGAGAGATCAACATTGTATTGTAAAATTTTAAACAAAATTGGAGCGGCTTTTTTCAGTCTTCTTGGCTGATGAGATGTAGTAGAAGTAGAAGAAAAATGAAAGGAGTTTAACGAAATATCTAAAACTTGAAAAACTTTCGCTTACAAATAGCTTCATAACACTTCACTGAGAGTTTTTGACAACTAATTCTTTACATCTTAAAGAGCTTACAACATAGTCGTAGAAATTATTATTCATTGATACTTGTAATTTCCCGTTGTTATGCCGGATCGAATTGATCGAACTTTGTTGACATTTGGTCCTTTATGTGGATGCCTTGATATTGTCTGCTTATTGACTTTGTTGTATTTTGCTTTATGATGGCTAGCAGTGGGATACAAGACCCGCGCTTCGTCCTATTTCGGACTCGTCACCTGGACGCAAGTGGAGGTACATCCAAGAGACGAGTCACAAATCGGGCGAAATGCTGGTCCTCAACTTTACTGTTAACAAATTATCCATCACTGTCATCAACATGGAACTACTAACAGTTATCAAGCATTCTCATAGGATCCCATATACCAATAAGGGTCAATCGATTCGGTGCAATTAGCGATGGGAATTTACGATCAGAGACATCAAAACTAAATTGTTAAACGTTCAAAAAGTCTGGAAATGAGAAACGAAACGTAGGTGTTTTTGTTTGTGACCAGCCACGACCTTATTGAGACTACTTTTATTCCTGCAGCTTATGGAATATAAAAAAAATCTGTCCAATTTTCAAGATCTTCCCAAAAGATAGTGAATATATATGCCGAGTCGAGTGACTGAAAGAGTCTTATGAGTAAAACATTGGTCCACCTATTCTTTTGGTAAATGTTTGAAATGTTATGACTTCAGTGCTTATTTAAAGCATGGTGTTGCCAAAATCTTTTCGTATCTGTGTAGAAACTTTAAAAGTATTTCATTTTACCGATACTTGTAATTTCTTGTTGATATACTGGATCGAATCACTCTACCTTTGTTAGCAGCTGGACTTATATACGGATGTATCGATACTGCCTGAAGATTCATCATGTTGTAATTTGCTTGGTTGTGCCTAGAAGTGAAACTCAGTACACAGGTTTGAACTTATCGGCTGCATGAACATGTACCCTAGTGGGTGATGTTGTCCCACAAAGAATCGAACCCAAGATCGTTCGCTTCAAATGACAGAGTTTTATCCACAACTCCACAAGCAATAATATAAAAACTATACTTGTCGCACAAAGATTGGTTATCGTGACTCGGTAGCCTAGTGGATAACGTTCTGGCGTTTAAAGTGATCGGTCATGGGTTCGAGCCTCAGTGTGAACAACAACCCCTCACTGGGATGCAGGCACATCCTGCTGACGAGTCCTAAATAGGGAGAAACGTGTATCCTAGACTTTACTGCTGACAAATTACCCATCACCGCTATCGAAGTGAAAATACTAACAATACAAGCAATAACATGAAAATCAGACTTCTTAGCACTGTAGAAATTAGTTGTTTACCAGCTACCAAAACCCAGATTTTTTATTAAACACTGTAGAAACAAATACGATTTAATATATTAGGAACTAAGTGTGCTGCTAGACGGCAGAAATATTTCAAAAACGAACAAAGTTATCATTGAGCGTCTTATTCAAACTTGAGTTGGCAAAACATTAAAACCTCTTAGAAAAATATGCCTACTTTCAATTTAGGACAATCCATAAATTAAGTCCAAGGTAGCAAAAGCTTTGGACCAAAACAAGCAATGTAAAATCTTTAGGTTTGTGAAGAAATGTACAATGCCTTCTTTCAAGAAAACTAAGACATTTTCTCCGGAAATTTAGAAATTACCAAGGGAATGAGAATCCATCTATACCTACGACAAATAACATACCAAACAGTAGATTTCAGTGCTAAGTTACTATGTATGATGCATAGTATTGCGTCAGCCGAGTACGTGTAACTCCAGAAGGAAGTATGACGGTCAGCTTGTGCGTCTATGTGCAATTAAACTTCACATTCAGAATCCATACACATCTTTGAACTATACGTCTATTAAACTTCCTTGAGAAACTTAACCAAATCTATTCATTAATATACAAGATGCTAAAACTACACTGCTGTTAAGGGTTTTATTCACCTCCTGTAGGCTTATGGGAGAACTTATTAACCATATGATCCCAATATGGTTGTTGTAGACGTGTACCTTTACATCTTAATTAGCATACACCACGGGAACAGAGTAGATACTTAGGAGACACTTTCAACCTTTCGGAAACTGAAAACCTACTTTAGTGTTTTTAAAGTGTTGCATGGTAATATTTTGGTGAAAGTAAAGACTTCTTCAACTCTAGGTGAAAAAATTGGGTTCAAAGAATAGTGTTGTGCAATCCGAAGTGCACACCCAACTAGGCCTACTTGATACAGGACAACTTGGCAAATATTTGCTCTGACTTTTCAGGTGTACAGAATAGAAAGATAGGATCTAGGAAGACATGCACTTGCTTCTTGCTCAATCTCTCAGTGGTGTGGAATTTATGTACTGTTACTTTGGCAGAAGTTGTCAATGTGGACTGAACATGACCATCTATCCCTACAGAGATTAGAAGGGATGAAAGTGCCAATATATGATATCTTTTAAGCGAGTATGGCAAACTGACGTCTTTTGAACTCTTGTGTTCAGATCCTGAGGTTGGATGGTTTCTTGTCTGTCTTTACTTCTTCCACGGACGTGAAAGTCATTTTCTGCTTTCAACTCTCAGAGTAGTTATTCTCCGTGGGTTGTTTCCCTTTATATTTTGTAGAGTGGTCAAGTAAAGCAGCTACGGAGCTGCTGCGAAAACCGATCGTTTCTCTACAACTTATGTCGGATGAAAACCGGAAGTTTACGAAGTAAGCATTAAGTGGACAACAAGTTAATGCCAAAAAGAGGTTAATGATGCTTCATGGAGAAGTGAATAAAGAGAATATATCTGTGTAGTAATAGTAAGCTTCGATGGATAGTGAAGACTACGAAACATGACCATTGAGTCATAGATAAGACCTAATTCAGCGAGGAAAACTTCCTTTTTCGACGATACCATTTTCTAAGGCTGTACAATCATATTTGTATTTATCATAAGCATATAACAGCCTATTATAAAACAATAGGGTATAATTACATCATTAACCTAGTGCTAAAAAACCGGAATCAAGAATGCAAAGTAGTTGCATAATAAACTAAGACAGTAGAAATATCGAGGAAGGCAAGGAGTTTGACAAGGGTAAAACTGTTGGTAGATAAGAAACGCAAATATTGAGTGTCCACTTGATAGATAGATAGATAGATGGGTGTAAAGAAGGTGAAGAATGAGACAAGGGCCATAATGAAGGTGACAATAATAAACTAATTAACTATCATGAAATCGAAAAAATGAAAGTGTTAAGACCATGGTAAGATGAGAGATTGAACATACTTCTTTTGCACGCAGAGATCGAACCTGAATTGATGAATTGCCAATGCCTCCGATGTGCACAACTGTCGATGGCGTACTCCTTTTGAACTATTCCATCTGACACGATAAATGACATTGAAGGAAGATTCTGGTCTAGCTTTATGTTCAGAGTTGACCAAATGCTCAAGAATTGAGCTGTTAATTGATTTACATTCTCCCCTCGACAACCATGTAGGATACTGCTCCAAGGTACGTTTGGAAAGCGTGCGCTTTGTGCAGCCTATAACTAGCTCCACAGGAGCAGGTAAATTTGTAGACACACATCGAGGTGGTTCAAAGTGGCAACTTGTCCTTAACGCACTCCGGAATGAGATGTTGACTAGAGAAGCTGATCTGCAGTTTTGCAGAGAAGAATGTCTTCTTCAGTGATCTGGACAGCCAATTCTTCAGGATCTCTGCTGCCGTTTAGCCTTTGAAAACAACGTTCCACAGCTGGATGCCTCTCAGCAGAAAGAGGAATCGAATCAGTCCTTTATTTTCAAGAATCAAAAGAATCTGCACGAGTGATACTATTGATGAAGAATTAGATAAACTACGGAAGACCCTCATGAAAAATGGATATCCATCCAGATTTATTGGTAAGAACTTGAAAGTAAATCAGAATACGGAGCGAGTACCCACAGTTCCTAAGAAGACCTTGTTTATGAACGTCATTTCCAAAGGCAATACGGCAGCAGAGATCCTGAAGAATCGGCTGTCCAGATCACTAAAAGAAGACATTCTTCTCTGCAAAACTGCAGATCACCCTTAACTGGACCTTCTGCAAAAGGCTCGAAAATTGCCTAAGCAGTAGAAAAACCACTGTGTTTAGGACTTTAAGATGTAATCTGACAAATGTTTTGAAAACTATGAAGAACAGAGTGGGAGTGAAAGCCTTAAGCTGCCTTGTTAGGAAGTGTGCAACAAAACTGATCTTTACGACTCTTGCTTAATGTTTCCAGCTTTGAAGAGAAATGAAAATCTTTCTTCCTGTTTGGCTACTTATGGTACGTCTGACTGTAACAACCTCGGGAGTACAAATATACATTACTTTAGATTATCTCAAGTTAAAACTTAGATCTTGTTTTCTAAGAATTGAGTTGCGAAAGCCATATTGGAGTTGCTTTGGTTCAGTGCTCCCGTCAATCACTCGTCTTACTTTGATGTCACTGGCGAATAAAGGGATGGAGGAGAAGGGAATCGTAAGTAAATTGTTCATGAAGAGCAGAAACAAAGGGGGCCAACGATCACTCCACAGAACACCTAAAAGATGGAAACCCTTCATGCAGACGATACAAAATTTCCTACCATTCAGGTGCAAAATTAACCAAGCCATTAGTGGTTCTTGGTTACCTGCTTCCAATATTTTCGTTAGTAAGGTGACTTTCGAAACATAATCAAGTGCTTTGTTTTGGTCAGCAAAGACAATATGAACTTCTTGCTTATTTTAGTACCTAGCAGTTAAATCTTCCAAAATATACGGCACTTTGACGGGACAGAGACCTAACTCTCCTAAATCCCTGTTTGATGGAATGAATGACACTATTCGTATAGGGAATTTCTACATAACATCAGCTATCAGACTTTACAGTGCATTGGATACCATAAACTGTATTTGGTTGCATCCTTATTGTCTACTTTAAATATTGGTGATAAAATAACTCACTTCCATTGTTTTTGTGCTCGGTTATTTTCCATAGATTTTGTCAACAGGCTTCAGAACATTAAGCTCAGTACCGTTGTGCACTGAACTTTTCACACCCTAGAGACTTGCCTATTTTGAATTTCGATAGTTCTTCGGATGATTCAGGTGGTAAGATTTTGATGTTGAGCAGTTGTTCATTGCAGTCGTCAAGTAGCGAAACGTTTGTAACTAAGGATGTTTGCGGGCTATTTCTCGAAATCCCGTGAGGAACGACAGAATTGTTTATTTCAAGAACACTGAGATTTATAACATATCTAACATCAAATTTTCACTTGGTGCCCAGTATTTCTGGAGTTATGGCATCAAACCTTCATCAAGATTCATCCATACACTTGTGAAATTTTCTTGTTATTGTTTTATGATACTTCAAATCTTAAGATGAGTAGGTCGGATATTTCCTAACTGGTCAAATGTTCCCCATTTGGATCTGGTATAACGTTGATATTGTTACTCGTCAGTCGTCTTTGTTATATGAAGGAGTATAGGCTTTTAAGGTTGTTTCAGACCCCACTAGTTTGATGGTTTTTCCTATCTCTCTGAACCATGCTATAGCATGTATTACATACCTTCTTGTGGGCAAGAAAATCTGATTCTCTGTGGAATGACGATGAATTAAACCAAATTTGATTTTTCCCCTGTATCAGTCTGCCGATTGCGCTACGAGCCTGTAGGGTCTTAATCGAGGAAAGGCAGTTGGTTTTGAGATACTAGCATGAATGGCCTTCAGAATCATGCCTTCGCCTACTGCTTATTGCTTATGTACGGTGAGAGACCTCGAACTTTGGTGTCATAGCCCACTGGGGGTCTCCACTCGGTTGAAGCGCTCATAATGTAATACCTTTACCTGTGGTAACTCAAAATAAGTTACCAACTGACAACCCGAATACCTTCTTCCACTGCAGCAGCATGAAGTTCACAGATATGAAGGATATCTTTCTTAAGATTGGATGGATGAAATTGTGACGTACCTTCCTGGCACCAAAATGCAACTAAGGCTAGGAAAGATAGATTAAATTGAACTAACTAAATATTAATTAAACTTCTAGGTTGCCTCTGGATGGTTAGGATGTTTTAAGTTTCGTTTTAATGAGCATGTATCCGAGTAGGCTTCGACGCCATTTTGTGTTTACTTGTGCTAATTAACATACACACCTTGAGGGTCCCTAGCTCAGCCATACTAGTCAGATAAGTTGGATAAACTTCAACCCTAACAACCACTGTCACATTTATTCTATTTAGATACACTGCTCCTTTGAATGTCCCTGAATAACATTCCTTTTGACATGTGTTTCATCTATAGTACTTAAATGTTAGGTATGTTATTGATTAAGCAGGTGCTACAGCATGTTGAGTTAATTAGATTTGACTGAGTTACGTAACAGTGATGCAGACAGTACCCCTACAAAACGATTAAAATTTGAACAACGGGGCTATTAAAAGTCAGTATCAGTAAGGTGTAGTGCAGACAATACAATACCACAGGATGTATAGATCCGAAGACTCAACGTGTACACATATAAAAAATTTCGGTATAAATCTTCTGAAGGAATTTCGTTTTAAAGCATTTGGACAGAATGGCGGACAAATGAAATCAAAGTTAAACTTCGCACAGAAGTCCAGCCGTATAAATTACTACTCTTCACAGTAGCATACAAATAACAGATGGGTGAGTGATATCAAGGCGGAAAAAACTGTATGCCAGGAGAGACAACTTGAAAAATGTTTCAGCCTCAGAGGTCGTTAAATAGTGGATATATCTGCACCATTGTGACCTCTTCTGTGCCACGTCGCCAACAATTTCCAACCATTTCTTCTAATCGTCTTTAGAAGCCCGATTATATAGTCTACAACACCTTGCGTGCCACGGAAAAATGGTCAGATGCTTTATTCGTTTATGCCACATCTTGGTCGGGCGATTCTCAGCCTTCTTCCGAATCGGCCCAATCTAGTCCTACTTTGGCTAGAATTGGATCTCAATTTGCTCATTAAAAACATTATTACTCTTAGTTTTAAAAATTCCAAAGTCTTCTTCATCCCGTTACAAGCAAAGGTAACGATCTGAGTTTTAAAGTACATATATGAAGATAAGAGACACGTGAGAAGCTAGGGGGAAATTTTCTATGGAAAGCATGTTATATGGAAAAGCGAGGGAAATGCTGTCAGTAAAAATGCCGGATACTTGAGAACCAACGAGGCTAATTACGCTGAGAAAGCGAGATAAACAGGAAGGTGTTTGTTAGAAACTTGTGAGATATGGTCTCAAGATCACAAGAGAAAAGTGGAAGGGTGAGGAACTGAGATAAAATGTTACATCTAACCTTCATTTCGTCCAGACCTTCTCCATTCGCTGGACACCTTTGTATCCCACATTTGACTTACGTGTCCTACAAACATTTTTTAACTGCTTGGTTAACTTGACGACCTCATTTATGCAATATCTATCTTATGAGACAACATAGACTGTTTAACTTCTTCACGCTAGCTTCGGCGTCTTGTATGGTGGTTCCATATCTTTGGTAAACTTAGATCGCGTCATTTAAATTTGTTGATTTGGTATAGCACACAGTCACATGGTATACAAGCTCGTAAAGCAGATAGTGAAACAATTGAAGTACCTTACTCTAAATTATTTAAGTTGCTGCGCTGTCGATACTGTGACAACAGTTCAAAATCCAATACCCAATGGAGACATTTGTAGCAAGGTGGCAGATAGTTCTGACTTTTAGTGTTTAGGTCTTCGGGATCAGTTTTTCCCTTTCTCTATCCATCGGTGGCTGAAGACGTCCTTTCAACCTGCTGGTTTTCTTCTGAAAACAGTGGATATTTTGCATGGGGAGCTGCTTATAACGTCCGTTACGTAATGTTTGCCTCACGAGCTTATATAAAGTGTTCCTTGTATTCGGTAGATTCCAGTGCAGTAGACCGGTCCATTCATCTGTTATGGCTTCAATAAACGTGAAGAGTGGTTGCGTATCGGTTAAATATTTTGTGATGTGCATGATTTTTTCTAAGCCTCTGATGCAAGTAGGGCCCTCAATGGTAGCATCGCCAAATGTCTTTTCTGACTGCTTGTTAAGATATGTAGGGAGAATAAAAAATGTTCAGCAAAAAGGAAAAGAAGTTGTAACAAATAAGTCTGGTAGGAAAATAGCAGAAGGAAAGGCAAAACCTAGGCGGATCGATGCATGGCAGGAAAGAAGACTTTCATGGAAAGAACTTTAATAAATATAGTGAAATCAAAGGGGGTCAGGGGGAATGAAAGTAGCATGTGATATTATGGTAGTGATAATAGGAGTAGAAATAGCAACGGTGTCAGCAGAGTTTGGTGACTGGAGAGTTGAGATACTTAATAGGGAAGTATGAGGTTAAGCCAAGTTCGTGATAATCGTTAAAGTCCAAAAGAATCGGTATGGGTGGTGACTGTTTTTTAGTGATGTGGAATCAGTGGCGGTTTGGGCTGAGTCCATATCCCAGCTTGATGAGAGCAAGCTATGTGTCCCCACTTAGGTTTACAAACTTCTGTTGAAGCTACCCGTGGTGGGCGTGATAGTGTTCTCTGAAGTTAATGCATTTCAGTGACCAAGAGATCGAAAAGAGAAGATGGGCAAGCACTCACAGGTTTTCATCCTTTGGTGGGTGATCGTCTTCGGGTTCCTATGACGAATGTCGTGGGGACCGCTTGGTAACATTCCACCGTTCAAGTGAGCTAGGTTACTATCACTATCGCTGTCACCGTGAAGTCGGCGCGGAACCCATGACACCTACAACAGCAAAGGCCTGGACTCTTTAGCCTATCCATGCATGTGTTTTGCCACAACGACTTTAGCGGTTGGCTTCTGGAATTTATGCGAGAAATTCGCACCTCTCTTCGGGTGTGACGTTGCGAACCTCCAAGCATAGCTGAATATAGGTCCTGTACAGCGTCAGAGAGGTCTCCGAGATGAGGGCACCTATTTTTCTATGAATAGAGTGTATTGCTGCATTGGCTCAGGTGACGTCCCCTGAACAGCTGCGACTGGTGTCTAGTTTCATAGTTAGCACTGGTGCATGTCCTTCCAGGATGTCGTATGAGAGAGAGGCATACCACGAGGACAGTAGGATACTTTCTGACATTTGGGAGTTAGAGGGGACCTGATCTATCACTTACCCAGGTTAAATACCAGTCCGTTGATTTTAAAACTCTCTTCAAGCATTCTGAGGTCATTTCGAGATGCCTTCGATCCCCTTTTAGATGTCGAGGCTCACCATAAATTAGAGTTGGTATAAGTTAGAATCGGGGAGTTGAAAGTCGGTGGAGGGTGATTCACCAAATGAAGTAACGGAACTGGACCTAGGATCGCCCCTTATGATCTGACAAACTGGCTATTTTCTGCAGGAGGATGGCGTGGTAAACTATATCATAGGCCTTGGCAAAATAAGTCAAAATCCCATGACAAGAGGCTTGCTGGTCCCAGTATGTCACCCAACATCAACAGGTTGTCAGAAGTCCCGAGGCACTGAACGTACGCTTTCGGAAGTTATATCGGGCATCACTCGTTGCTCTTTCTTGCCTCATATACACTCTAATATGGCCATCTGTCAGCCTCTCGATTGCTTGACACAACTTTGTAGGAGGTGCTATAGATCGGCAGTACTTTGGGTTCCCCCTGTCTTCTCTCTCAAAAATAGTTAAGACAATAGCACGTTTTCGCTCTCATAGGAGACAATGACGAGATCGCCCCCATAAGGTATGTTCGCTGATCTACAGATCAGTCACAATCATTTCACTGTCGCTCTCGAGGAGAAGAGTTTGAATCTGAAAGGTTCGTGGTGGCGGGTGGCCGCTGATGACAAATTAGTTCCGTTTTGATAGCTTTCCGCCCCACCAACAGTGACTGTCCTCCTTCACCTCCCAATATACATATGATGGCATTTAGCAGGCCTCGGTCAAGGGTCCAGCTTGAGATCGCGGCGTTCTGTCCCAGGCTGAGATTTGTGGCACTTAAATCCCTGCCTACGATAACCCGGTCGCACAACATAGTAATCACTGAGCATCCTACCAGGAGTGGTCGTCCCTTCGGTTCCAAATTGCTGGCGGCGAGTTAGTGGACTCCCCACCTTTCGCTCAGCGAGGTCAGCTGCACAAACGCACCCAGTTAAGTTTTGGAGTTGTGTCAATGCGGTCTTCACTTTTGATCTGGTAGCCCATTATCATTGGCAGTGGACCGCCCTCTATGTTCCCCATCTCCTCTAACCAGAAACACCGTCTGTATTCGCTTCGATGACACTAATGCCCGACGACGACCATGGTCTCCGCGGTGAGTTGGGAACGGAGGGATCGAGGGTCCACCATTATGACTTGCACACTGCCGTGGAGGCTGCTGGGGGCACTCCTCACAACAAAATGTTTCGTTGGTGTTCAGCAGTGGAGATCTGTGTTCAGTAGCTGAGATTGTCACTATCCAGCGGGTTTCATCGGAGTTGGTGCAGTCAGATCCCTCCCAAAGTTGTTTCTGCAGTCTTTGCTGAGCCGAGGTTATCAGTTTCGACCTAATAGTGTGTGCAAGGTAATGGCGGCGTTGACGAGAAGAAAAATCGATATTTGCTGCTTTTTCAGCGTTTCAGGTCTTCTCTCACCACAGCGAACGTTCCCGCTGGCCACGTCTTTGGTTGCGTACCGTGTGTGCAGCACTGCAGTTGAGATCTTCAAGAACCCGGAGTTTGCTATTATACCAAGCGCTATGGATGTGGAAGTCAAAAGATTGCCGTCACTGCTATTAAGTCCAGCTTATTCCTGCCGTAATCACTGGAACTGGAGACCTTCATGAAAGCACTCTTCTCTTTGAATGCCTGCTACTGGTTTTGGTATGCTCTGAGTTAACATGATTCTTAATCTGAGCGCATTTGGTGCCTGTTATATTTTCTCCCCTGACTGCAGTTTGTGCTGTCTAGCTGTCTAACTAACCGACGAATGTCCAGCGTGTGTATGAGTGAGAGGAATATTTTGGGGTTCTTAACTGAACCCGAAGTCACTTTTATCGGTTAAGGCTTCTCTAAAAGTGGGTGACTGCTTTTGCATAGCGGTCAAGGTTATGCCCATAGACTGTCCAGCGGTAACGACTAGCGTATGGCTTCAAACTGCTATTTTTTCAACGGTTGTCTTTGTTTGAAACGGCTTCTGTCGCACTCACGGACGTTAAATAAGATGACAGACTTCGGTCGGCATTCGTGTTGTCAGGTTCTATGGGAAGTTTTTCATATGCGAGTTGCACCTTTTTTTCCATGACTACTCACTTTTCGCGATGTTCAGCAGTCGTCGTTGCCGGATTGGCTTCAGAGCCTGTAGGCGATTTAGTTGGCCGTGTGGTTGACGGTCGTTTGGCTGTCTTCGGTCTGCTCCAGTGCATGACTCCCTGAGGAACGTCACTGGTTGTTTTTGTTTCTGCATTTGCGTAACTTCCAGAGTCTCTTGTAGCCTCCTCAAGAGAACCTGTAGCTGGAAATGGTTTCCGGCAGCGCTGGTGGGCATACGTGCCAGAATAACGAGCATGGATGTCGCGTGATGAAGGCATATTATTATTCTGGTGTATCCTCATCACATTGACGCTGTGCCTACCCAGTAAAGATGTTGCCCATTTTGGCTACAATAGGCCGCGGGTGTGACAGTCGTCACTGTGACCAGGAGGTTTGGTCAGGGTTTTCCATCCTGTTTTCTGTCGTTTCCTTTTGGCAGTTTTTAAGGACTGCCTGGGTTGCGACCTGGGTGTGGCGGTGAGGTCTGCTTTTCGCTGACAGAGGACATAGGTGTTTGGTTCACTGTGATGTTTAGGTTTTTGACCTTTTCAGACATACGTATTCTTGATCGTCCTTCTAATCCCGACCCTAATGATGGGCGGCGGATTCTTCGAGAGGTTTTATGTATCTTAACTTCAGCTCTGGTTACCGTTGAGAATGCGGTGGTTGAGATTTTAGGTAAAGTTACATTTGGAGTCGTCTTGGGGTCAGGATTAACAAACTCATCCTTGCCGTGTTCACTAGTGAGGGGGTAGGATTAAGTAAAAAGGGGCAGATAAAGGCGTAAACGTCTAGCAAAAAGTAGTGAATCTATGGCGACGTAAAAGTAGGTTGCCAACCTCCCCTGTAGCTGATCAGCTGTATGACTCTCATGGTTGCGGAAAGCTATCCACAAGCACAAAGTTCACGTTTGATTGAAGTATGTAATTCTGCAGCGACCTGATTTACAGCCATTAAGCAGGACAACTAGGCCCACCACAGAGACGCCCGAAGGAAAAATTATGGTAGAGACCAAATGGAGATTGCAAGTTCCGTGCAGAGGTTGTCGCAAAACTGCTGAAATGGAAGGTAAAAGCTGTGGCTAGATGGCCGTAAATGCATTCGCCCCAAACGTGATGAAGATAGGGCAAAATACGTTGGTATCCAAGGCATCTTGAACTGAGTACTCGTGCATCGGTTACCACGCGTTTGTTCATAAAGAACTGCTAGTGTTTCCCTCTTATGGTGGTCTATTGGATTCATGATCTCGTAAGCTGTTATTATGTCACGTTTTTCTCCTGGTTTCCCAAGGTTAACTAATCAGCCTGTCTCGCTCGCCAGATTTGTGTTCTGGATATCAGTTCAACAAACAACGTCGTCAGTCTTCCGTACATCGTTTCGAAA